GCTGCCCACATCCTGTGCACAAGCTGCTAGAGAGCAAGAAGGTTTACTGCTACAAAATACACATGGCAGTAGTTAACTCCTTACATGGATACAGATTCCGACATCAGGGCAAGCGCTGTTACAAAAAGCTGAACTAGTTAAGCTACCCAGTGCTGGCTGTCCTGTCACACCTCATCAAAGAATCGAGCATAACCTCCCCACCCCCATGATATTTTCCTTCATTTTCTGCCAAAAATATGAAGTATTTGGTAAAGAATAGCATGTGCCAAAAAAAGCCAGCTGGCTTTTTCTAAGTACTGCAGTATTTTGATGTGCTATACTAACACCCAGTGGCAAAGTTAGATACATACCATTAATGACAAATCTTGTTCCATGGATATTTACAGTTTCAATCTCTTCTCTGTGCAACTAGTAAAATAAAGAAATTGTGCATTTACACATTGTGACCTTACACCTAGGAGTTCCATGTGGCAGCTTTAGGGTTTTGGAGGGAACCAGCCTCGCTTGTCTTTCCTTTTGTCTTCACACTATTTCAGAACTCTTCAATGCCATTTCCAACTCAAAAAACCCTCCCATGGTGCTCATGGAGCCTCAAAGGGGGAGGAAATGATTTCACAACTAGGAAAACAGTCCTGTAAGCAGGCTGCTGGCAGCTGGCACACCAGTTTGTGCTGACCAGTTTACCGAAACAGCATGATATGGATTCAGGCTCGCAGGATAATCTGAGGAGATGAAATCTAACATGCAGTGTTACAGCATCAAGTCTCTCATCCTCAGTGTGGGCAGTCACACAGAAATAAAAAACCCAAACCTGTTTGGACTCACTTGCTCTCTTCCTGACATTCCATATGATGCTACATGAAACACACAGTCAGCCCCTTCAAAGGCTGCAAATAGGGCATCATAGTCCCTGACATCTGCCTGTAATACATAAGAAAAGATATTTGGACTTGAAATCAAAGCTGCAGGTTAGTGTTTGTCATACACAGAGGGAATGTGTATGTGTAATTGTACTTACTGTACATCCCCAGGCCCATTTCAGTTCTTGCTGATAATTATACTTTTCTTTCATAGAACTCAAAGGAGTTGAGTTCTATGAAACTTTAAAAACATTCAGTAAGCCTCATAATCTTCCACTTGTGGTCATTCTACAAGTGCTTAAACTAAGGGCAATACTTCAGAGTCAGGAGGTGGAGCAAGTACTTTGTGCTACACGTTACCAGTTTCATTGCTTTGCTTATTTCACATACACTAAAATCAACTTACCAAAAATCATGTGGGATATTCACACAATTAAAAGGGTTATTGAAATTTGCAATTATTTGCAATTGGGTATTTGGGTTCTGGGAAAACTAGTAAGACATTGTGGAAAAGGCAAATGAACTAACTTTGACTGTTATGGAAATGTAATTGATCATACCTGGATAAACACTACTCCACTAGGGATTTCCCAGATAGGCTTTTGTATGTCATACAGAACAACAGAAGCTCCTCGGCTGGCAAGAGTACATCCCAGCTTGCATCCAACATAGCCTCCGCCTCCTGTCACCACTGCTCTCATCCTGTTTTCATTCAGTGCTCCAGCATATCCATTCACTCTGGAGTCAGAGGCTTGGTGCCAGCGTGTTGCTACTCCACTCAGTATGTTTGCCCTCAGTGAAATGCTGTCTGCTATTAGCAGACACGTGTAGCAATTTCTCCTGCATGTTGAAACTGCTCCATAGTGCTCATGGATGCAGACAATCCCAGTGAGTTTCATGTTAAGAAGCTCTATTCACAGGAGCAAAGTTTTAGTTTAACGCAACCTGTTTACGACAAAGACAAGAGCAAAACAATAGCTGCAACATGTCCACATTTCAAAGATTTCTTTTAAAAGCCCCATTTCAATGTTCTGCTTTGATGGTTTTAGAGTTTGCTTAACAATAATTTCCACATTTTACGAACATTTGAAATGTCTGTTTACTAGATACGAAAGACAGAATCCTGAGGCTACATAACAAAGGTTGCCTGTTTTAGACTAAATATTTATTTGCAAATGGAATCCAGAATAATAAACTAAAAATAATTAACAAAAGGTCCTAATGCAGAGAACATGAATCCAAATTTTTCCTACAGATGGGTCAGAATTAGAATAATGGTACAGAGCATAACTTTTTATTAGCAGAAAAGAAATTGCTGCCTACGTGAAATGCATCTGCTTGCCCTAGTTCATTCTACTCTGCGTCACAAGCTCCGAGACGGCCTTTAGGGGTCAAATGTCATAGAGGGCCACACCTGAGCTTGAAATCCTGAACTGTCAGGAAAACTCTAAAGATGAACAAACTGCATTTAAGCTTCTGTGCTTAAAAAACAAGCAAGCAGGGCTGAGCAGAGCAGAATGTCCCCTAGAGCAAAATAAACCTTCAGTGCTTCTTCCACCGGTCCCAAAGACATCTGTCCCAAAGACATCTGAGAAAAGTGGTATTTCAGCTCCTAAGTAGCAGCAGCTAAATGTAAATTGAGAACACACAGTGGTTTTACCATTGACAGTGATGGAATTGAGGTGCATGAGGATTTCAGAAGGAAACGGGAGTGCCTGATGCTTAGAATTTGAGAACACAGCTTTTGGGTGAACTAGAGTGAATGAACTGCTACATGACACAGAGGATCAATGAGTACAGTAAGAGAAAGGCAATAGTGAGCCATTTACTTCTAGAGCATGGAGCTTCTTTCCCTCTTCAATGGTCAAGGGTTCATCGCTGAGAGAGGAGGCATTCAGAGGCTGCAGATACCGGTGTTTCCTCACCCTTCCCATGCCGCAATAAAACATTAAGTGTCACCGGAGCTCCTCCAGTTATTCTCTGCATCTCACTTGCAAATCCCTCAGGGAAACACGCCGCCGACGGAGCTCCGGACCGGGACCGGTTCCCCTCCCCGGCTTGGACCGGCCGTTGGGACTGTTGCCCGCCCCTCTGGGGCTGCGGGGCTCGGCCGGGCCGGGCCGGGGCGCGAGCGGCGGCCCCCTGACTCCCACCCTGCAGGAGAGGGGCCAGGCCGGGCGCTCACCTCCACCGCCATCCCCCGCTGCTCACCCGCCGCCTCGGGGAGCGGGTGCTGCGCGGGGGGCTCCCTCCGCACACGGGCCGCGCCGGGCTCCCACAGCACCCGGGGGCCACTCGGCCGCAGCACCGCCGGCATCCCCCCGTGCTCGCAGGCGGGGGTCCCGCGGCACCCCCGTGTCCCACTCATTTGAAGCGTCTTTGGGACCCCAAACTCTTCCTGAGATATTGCCTATCCCACAGCACCCGTGGGAGCCCTGGGATTCCATAGCAAGCCTGGCTTCCCAGAGCATCCCTGGGATCCCACAGAATTACCTGGCGGCTCTTACCTCCTTGTGTCTTCATACAGCCGCTGCACTAAAGCATCCTAGCAGTAACTGGAGCTCCATCCAACTGAGATACCTGTTGAACAGGTTGTTCAGGAGAATAACCACCACGTCTTGATTGCCGGCTGGATAGTCGGCAGGACATAGCTCAGAGAGGTGCAGAGCACCAGAAACACCTCCAAACCAGCAGGAATTCCCGAAGAGGAAACATGATCATGAACAAGTAGGCACGAAGGTCCCTGCCCTCCCCAGCCGGTGGTGGGTCTCTGTGCAGCTCTGTGGTTGCTCGTGCCTGGGAGGATGCAAAAAAGGGTCAGGAGCTGCAGAACTTGAGAGTTACCCATTCCAGGCAAAAATTAAACCTTGAACATGTTTACCTCCTCTGTTATAGCTGTGCCATGTCTGAACGTTCATATTAAATTTTAATCACTTAAAGACACATTTGCAATTATGTTAGAGCAAAAGCAACTTGAACAATATCCAGCTTAAACTAACACTCAGGAAAGACTGTCAGAAATTAGACAACTGGCTGTTCCAAACAGGTACTAAAAGCTGTCTTAAAACTTCAAATACCAGATTTGTAATTGATAAATCAATTGAATGAAGCCTGTAATAATCAGTATTGTTATGACAACTGGCTGTTCCAAAGAGGTACTAAAAGCTGTCTTAAAACTTCAGATACTGGATTTGTAATTGATAAATCAATTGAATGAAGCCCGTAATAATCAGTATTGTTATAACAGTGATATAATATACACCTTACCTGAAATAACACATCAGAAATTTGGTATTGCAGGACTGGAATGGTGCTGGCCTTGCAGCCACAAAGCCAGAGAGTTCCTTGGTTAGGCCTTATTGAGGAGCACCCATGAAAAGGCCACAGCTTGCACTTCCCACTGGGCTGCAGCCAACTGCCCGATGTCTCTGCTGAAAGCTGTTGGTGTAATCTGGGATGTAGGCTTGAGCTATTAGTTTAATAAAAGCAATATATGAAAGATTCATAAATAACTGATTTTAAAAGCAAGTTGAATGTTTGCATACAGTTAAAATGCTCACACTGGGATGTAACTTGACACTTGTGATTTTCTCTTCTGCATTTCTAGGGAACATAGGCTTATGCATTGCCTCCTACAGTGCTCACTTGTCTGTCAGTCAGCTGCACCTCTCTACTGATAAATCGTGAACTTACCTGGTTTTGATTAAAGTTGGATAAAGGTCTCATATATAGCAAGTTTCTTTAAGATTCCTGACAATAGCTAGCAAGGAATAGAAGACAGCTGAATAGTGCCCCTGCTAAGGGAAGATGCAAGCTAATTTGTCTGGATGAGGACAATCTCCAAATGCTCATCCACAATAGACCAGGCTTTACTGCTTTCTCTGCAAACAGAACTATTTGTTTAAAGAAAATGAGAGTAAAACAAATCTTTGCTCACATAAGCTGCAGTGGTAATTGTGGTTGCTCACACATTTTCCTGTCAACGTGTATCATCTTTCACCTATAACGTTTTATTCTTGTAAGGTTCCTGTTAGGTTTCCTGTAAATATAAAGATACAATGAGAGAGTCTCCATAAACTAACTTACTGGCCTTAAAAGTCCTGTAAAATGCAAACATAAAGACAAAATAAATACAGAGTGGAGATTACCAGATGGCAGAGCTTTTTCATTGCTCTCTTCTGTGACCCACCCCAGCAAGTCCCCCCCTCCTGATCCCTTTGGGGTGCAAGACAGGGAACAGCTGCTCCTGGGTGAGAGCAAAGCTGGTCCCTGAGAAACTCCTTGTGACAGGTAACCTTATGGAAATCCATCTGGGCTACACACAGTATATGTACATGGGGTGCACAGGTAGCTCATGTAAGACAATCCACCCAAGTAGTAACTAACCTAAGTCTTAAGAAAGGGGAAAAGAGAGAGGCTGGATCCTCACTCATGTCTTAGTGCTTGGCTTGCCTGCTCATCCTGAAGTGGCAATTTCTTGATCAAACAGTGTGCTAGCACTGGTGCAGGGTTATGGATAGTCAGACCTGACTTCATTTACATGGCAAGGTAGCAGTGACAGTGTGCTGGACTCCAAGCTCTTATGTGCCCTCCTTCCTCCCCCTTCCCACAGACTCCTTAAAACAAGTATTTGGTTCAGTGATTATTTATTATTGCACTGAAAGGGTATTACTTGATTTACAAACATATATAATTTATTACATTTTTACAAAGCTTTTGAACAATAAAACTATTTTACATGAATATGACTTTCATCCGCTCACCACCTGTCATTTATAAATCTTTACTTCTCATATTGTTCGTACTATTACCCAGGTCTTCATAATTCCTCATACTAACACAGTAGCTGTAGCAGCGACTTTGTTAGAGGAGTTTAGTCAACCTTCTCTTCTTGGAGCTACTGGACTTGTTCCAGCACTGCAGTCCCACAATGGTTCCTCTTCTTCCAGTTTCTTACCCTCCAGAATTATCATTTTCAGAAGAATCATTCTCAGCATAAAGCAATCAATAAATGAAAATCTATTAAAACAATTCCTGCACCCATTAGTGGTGAACTCCTTGCATTTTGTGACACTGTTGTTCTTTGGGAACAGTTCCTGATGGGTCCTGTGTTTTCACTTTTGTGGGGCTGGTTTGGTTTTAATGAGGTCAGAGAGATGGCATCTTAAGAACAATAAAGGCCATAACAATTGAGGAATATACTATGACCAGATCATTAATAATCAGAAACAAAAATAGGTTTTTTTGGAACTGGTTTTTTGATTTTAGAAGAAAGAAAGAATGATCAAACTTAACAAAATGCCAAAAGCAAACAGCATTTTAAGGCACATGTGATCTTCCTGGCAAGTAGGTCTTGTTTTAATATAATGATCCACAGAATCAGCAAATGAGAATTGCTTTGGTTTGTAGCCAAGCTGATTTCGTGCCTTGTCTATTCGGAAAGTATGAGTTACAGTAACATTCCACACCTAAAATCAAAAAGGACAGTTAAGGAAGTGAATTTAATATCTGATTTTCTAGAATTTGGATGAAAATATGTCAACAATGATATTACAATGGAATTAAAACAAAAAATATAGACATGCAAAAATGTATGCATTTTGGAGCTGGATTCTATCTGGAGCTAAAAGAATGAGTTGATGCAGCTAACAGGTAAAGAGACAAAGCTCAGTAGATGGAGCGCAGGAGGAGTTTATGGTACCGACTTCTCACTTGTGAATGTGAGATAAAGGACTAAGGAAATCCTGTGCAACATATGAGCACCCTTCCCTCAAACTGGCTCTTCTGCACAGAGAAATGTGCAATGGAACTAGATGAATGATCACAGGAGAGTGGTGTGGTTTCTCAACTCTGCAGAAATGAATTATCTATGAGTGGAAAGCACATCCTTTGGGGAGTTACATCCTCCACCTCTGAATGCCTGGTAACTGTGAAAATGCTTAAGTTGCATTGTCTCAATGATTTCTGCTTCAGATATGCAACTAATGTAGAAGTAAGTGCAAAACCAGATATATTGTGGAATAACTGAAAATCTACAGCAGAAGTTAATGAGGTTCCTTCAGTGTCCTATCATGTTACAATACAGTAAGAGACTAGATGATGGAGTAAAGCATTTTGGCTTATATTATAAATCATAATATTGTACAAAAATGTAAGCTAGATCAAAATTGATTTGTCCAGAAGTTGTTTGTTTTTTAGAAAAGTGACTTTTCATTCCAATTTAGAATTATTTTTAGTGGACTTCCGAATTGTTGGCTAGCCTGGTACTATGATAACTGCTGCCACTTTGACCTGAGACTCTTGCTCTGTGCTCTTGGACCACTTTTCTTTAATAAGTAGTTCCACAGCATAGGACAGCTCATTGGAAACAGTGATGTAGGGTCTGTTTTCCTCTTTGTGCCAGGTCTGTGTCAGTTGCTCTGTCTTGCACCTTAGGGTATTTACCTGGATCATCAAGTAAGCATTAATTTCTGACAGTTTTATAAGGGGTGGCCATGGAAAAATCAGGCTATGAATGGACTGTGTAAGCCCTGGATGGACTTTGCCCTGAGCAGAAAACCAGAGCTCTACTGCAGACAATCCTGTCTGCGTCCAAAGGATGTATCACATAACTTCACAAGAATTTTTGTCAGAGATATACAAACATTCTCTATTTTTATATATTTACCTCATTCCTTGTCAAGAAAGGTGTAAAGCTAAAAACAGGCTTTAGTATCACATGCAGATACTCCATCACAGTGGCTGTGAAACAAAGTTACTCAATGAGACAGATGGATAACAATAAAATGAGATGACAGCAAATAGAATAAGTGTCAGCAAATGCTGACACTGCACATCCTATAATTCCTACTGGTATCAGAGAAGGCAATTAAGGTGGTAGAAGGCAGTATTTAATTTATAAAGTACATGATGGACTCAGCTTATTTACACTTTATCTAGTATAATTAATGCTAAATGGCAGAAGTGATTATTATTAATTAGAATAATGTTAAGTTATATAATTCCCACAGTTTGGGTCCCTGCATTTTATAAAACCATTATGTAGCTTTACAGAATACAAATAAAAAGCACAATAATTATGTATTTTATTATTTTTACCTGCTATATGAACGAGGAGAACGGGAATATGTATCCAGGGTTTCCTGTAGCCTAATTTTTCAAACTAGAAGTGATATAAAAGGAAAGAAAATCTGAGAATTTGTACCAAATTGTGGGTGTCAATGAAGCATGAAAATGACTGTTGATAAAACATGTCTCTAAACATTTCCAGCTCATCTTCCCCTCAATAGCGTTAGTAAGAAATGCGATTGAAACCCACTACTCAAATTTCCGGTGCCCACCTCCCTCCCACCCTTTGAATGCTACTGGATAGTAAAGGGGAAAAAATGTTATTTCCAAGGAGCAAGTGACCAAGACTGGAATACTTCATTACAGTTGGATACAGGCCCATCTACTGCAATAATTTTCCTGGAAGGCTTTTCCATGTTGGCATTGCAGGATCAAAAATTCAGCATGGTCCCAAAATCCAGCAGGATGTTTATGAAAATATTGCGTTGCCTCTTTTTAGCTTTTAAGATATGACTTTAAATAGTATTTCCTTTTGTGCTGCAGTTGATGGCAGAACAAAGAAATAAACAAAAGTTATAGAAGGCCTGCCAGAGGGTAATAGTGGAACTTCTCACACACTGTGAGCTTGATTTACAGAAATGCTGCTGTTCCATAGTAGGTTCTATACCTCTCAGCTACATATTCTCTCAAAACAATAAGGGCCCAACTCCACAGTTACACATACCCAAAACTTCCCTTCAAGCCAGTGGAACTTTGGGATATGCAGGGAGAACAGGATTGACTATAATGTTAAGTAATTCAGTAATTAACGTGCACTGAACTTCATTTAGTTAGTATGGTCTTCTAGCTAACTATGTGAATAGTGCCCATACAGTGCATTAGAGCTGAATGTGCGTGCAATACGTACTAAAGGGACTATCCATTCAGAAAATATCACATTTTCACCATCATGTATGTAATATGCCTGGCCACTCTGTTAAAGAAGCAGAGAAAAACAATTAAAACAACACTAAACACAGGATCACATTTTCTTTCTTTCTCACCCCTACCCATCTTGATTTTGTGGACTATATACCAGCAGTGAATGTACACAGATCAGATCAGCAAACTACCATCACTGGACTTTACTGTGACTGCAAACACGTCTCATACTTTCGGGTAGACCCATGGTGGCAGTAGAGCTAATCATGATTAATGATGTAAATAAGAGTAATGTAGATCATGCAATGTAGATCAGAGCTTGATTTCACTAGGTAGTAACCCAACTGTTAGAGCATTAAGTTCTTTGTGATGTGCAGGAGCCAGAATTATCTTCATGAATCCCACAGAAGTAGCAACAAAAAATCAAAATTTAAACCTATTAGAGAGTTAAAACTACTGGGACACAATGTTTATATTGTTTACTTACAGCTATATATCCCTTCTCAGAGGTGAGAGCCTCAGCAGCTAGTAAGTGAGCTTGTACTAGATTTCCTATGTGAACCCAGTTCATCTGAACTTTGTGATTCCCAAACTTGAAATTAAATAGTCTCCGCTGGATATTTACCTGTAGAAACAGAAAACACACAGTAATTGCTTTATTCCTTTATTATGCAGTGTAACACATTCATTTTGGCTCAGCCTGAATACTTAGAATTTGCTGTATTTGTGTACAATTACAGAACAAGAAATGCGTCACAGGGCTAAAAAACAACCAGGTGGTAGTTTTATAAATCAAGGACTGTTGCACTGGTATGCAGCGGTAAAACATTGTGACATTACAGTGTTTGGCTGCAACTAAAGTGCATATTTAAATGACATTACTTCCATTAAACGACCAGGGATGCAAGTTCTACCATGTCATGTCAGTCTAGCATTTTTTTCTTTTCACTTAAAAGTACTACTTGATCCTTGACATTTCTGCAATGCTTGTATCATGATATTTGTTATCTTGCATCAAATGACCTGTCACCAAGCTTTAGTAAAAACTACATTCAAGGTACTTCCACTTATGCTATGCCCTTACAACCAGTCGCAATGTCCTCCAGAAATGACTACTTAACACATACGGCTACTCGCGGCAGATGGCGCTGCTCGTCTGGTCCATATATGCCTGGTGGACGAAGCACACAAGTATGGAGCTTATCCCCTCCTTGGAGAGAGAACAAAACATGATTTTCAGACAGCTTTAATATCAACATGTGGCTGACATATATTGTCTGAGTTTTACATTATGAAGTAAAGGACCAGTCTGAACATTCTATGTGATTTGGCTTCCTAGTAACTTGTTTTCATTTCTGTATAAAATTGAATGCAACAGTAGTGAAAGACCCTAGTTTAGCAGCCTGAAAACCTTATCTCTCTGATCACAAATGGACAGGGACAGGACAAATCAAAACTTCCTTCATCTATGCCTTCTGCTTGATTGACTTTTGCTATTTATTGTAGATACAGTTTATAATGTACATATTTATCCATCATTGTAAATACATGCAAAACTAGAAGGTCATTCAAATTGCTTTATTTGGAAACCTTGCTTGCTTGCAGCTCAATGGCATCACAAAGGAATGGAAGACGTTTCTTAAACAGAGGCTTTCAAATGAGTTAGAATATTTTAACTCAAAATGAATACTTTAAGCTTTAAATGTGAATCACTAAGCAGACTCCTCTGACTCCTGAGAACAGGCACAATTACATCTTTTATGTGGGCAAGAGGTGGCAGGATTTGCTCAGTAGTTAATCAAGGATGCTAAAATTGAAACCCCACTTCATTTTGTAATGTCAACTTTTCAGTTCAAGCAAATCAGTAGGAATAGCAAAATATTTTTATCTTTGTAAAAGCAAAGATAAAAATAGTTTCCTTGCCATGTACAGATAGATTTTTAGCCTCAGCTCTTCATATGCATGTCTGACTTCAGAAGCTGACATAACCCTGATATTGCTGATCTGTTTAAGAAACTGCAGCTATTCTTACCAGACACCTAGAAGCCTTTGGGGATTATGAGAGTGACCTATTGGATAGTGCTTAGAGTTTGGTATTATCAGAGAAGGCTGATATAATAGACTGAATGGGAAATAAACACACAATTCCTGGATCTACTGTAAAACTGGTTAACTTTTAAGGTGATTCAAAGAAGTAAGGGTAAATTTTCTGAATTCTCCCATTTATTGTTTGAATATAATCTCTTATCTGTCTAGGTATACACATTAAAAAAATTAATCACTCACCAAAGCAGGAGTAGAAACAAACAAAATAAATCCTTATTTCAGTTAAAGTATACTATTTATTGATAAATGAGCATCCAGAGAATGGAATACCCATTAGCGCTACTAACAGTAGGAAAAACCCAAATGTTTTATATGTACCTTTGAGTAAAGTTCCATTAGCAGCAAGAACCATTTGGTCTGCAATTGCCTTTGTTCTAGAATAATGATTAAATTGCTATAAAGAAAGGCAGAATATGATCAACATTTTAATCAGATTATTGCACCTGTAAAGGTAAAGTTACTGTTTATGTCAGATACCATTCAAATCTAGCCAGCTTGTAGAAATCAGCTTAGTAAAACCAAACTAGAAATAACAAGATTTAGCAAATACATACTTTTTTAACGAGAAAGAAACTTATCTGACTTACATACACAAATTTAGCTTCAGAGTGAATTTAAATCCACTAGTATTTACTTAACTCGCTTTTTGTGCTGGATATACTGAAAAAAAAAATAATATAAAGCTAAATGTTCTGGTGGGTCAGGTAATTTAATTTTGAAAAAAAATCTATTTTTAGCTGGGAGAAGTTTTTTAAAACAGTAAATTAAATCTGAAATTAAAAATTCAGACTTTCCTAAAAATGCTTCCATTTTGTATTGAAGCTATTTTGGAAGTTATAAATACTTCTCTCCCAGCAGCATGTTTTACCATTAACAATTGCACGCAAGTGTATTTAGACAATAGGATTCTGGACGCAGCTAGCATGTGCTGGCTTAGTGATTACATATCTACATAAGGCTATTTATGTATCATACGTTGAATTTTGTATTGTCATACTTGACATTGAAAAATATACCTAAAAGTCCCACCATGGAAAATTACTCTCAGGTGGCTTGATCCACCTGCTTCACCTCCCTCTATGCCCCACCTCTCTTGTGTACACTATTACATGATCACCATTAGAGAGAACATACAAGCAGGGCTCAGACACATGCAAATAACTGCAAATTCCTGAAATGTTTCCTCCAAAGTCTGCTGTGCTGTGCAAGCTGTGCACAAACTGACACATACAACTAAGTGACTTTGGAGGCACCAGCAGAGTAGCAGATTCCTGGACACAGGATGTACATACTGAAATTATAGCTTAGCAGCAGGCAGTGTGCTGGGAGCAGGAAAGAGCAAATGAAAAGAATGGCCAGAATGCATTGAGCTTCACATTTCAGCTAGAAAATATTTCCTAAATGATCATAGTAAAGAAGGAAATGGTTTTTCTGAGCAGCCCAGAAGTGACTGTAACTACTGCCTGGCCTGCAGCAAGAAAGCAAGGTTTGGGAACTTCAAAGAAGCAAAAATGTGTGTGATAAAGATGTAAAATTTGCTATTTAACAATATTCTTCAATGCAAAGGCTCACAGTTCATAATATTCATATTATGTTCATAATATTCAGTATTTACACAGCTGACGGTGCCCTGAAAGCCCTTCCTCTTCAAGTGTTCTCGATAAATGTCACATTCCACTTTTCTTAGGTATTTTATCATCTCAGATCTGTCTAGTTATAGCATATCAAAACCACAATGATTTGAGTATTTCTTCATTGATCATAGGTCTATTTTTATTAATGACAAATAATTTCACAGAACGTGATGTGATCTACAGTAAACCAGCTTCTGCTGTCAGAACATCCTTCACATATTCTATCCATTAGAGCACAGTAAATGCCATGTCATCACATGAACAAAGTACCTTTTCCAGTGGAAAATATGGCACAGTTTCTTCATCTCCTTCTTCAATAGGATTCCCTCCAAATACCACGTTCACTGTACTGGTATATATCAGTCTAGGGATATTTCTCTGTTTGCAGACTACAATGGGAAATTGTAAATTATTTAAATAAATTATTTAAAAGAAATCATTTTAAAACAAAAATAAAGAGTGAGAAACAACACATGAACTGGCAGCTTCTCTTTTTTGAAAACAAAGATTATGTTTATAGAAGAATAATATTTTAATTTTAACCTTAGCTTATAATCTAATATGGCATTACCTTTCATTCAGCTGGAATTTTTCATCCAAATATCTGCTATGTAAGTATTACATACTGTGTTCACCAAATGTTTTATTACTTGAACTTTACTACTTAAGTGAATTAATATGCAAGATCAGGAAATTTTAGTATCTACAGAGCAGCCAATTCAGTTGGCTCATTTTGAAAACAATAAATTACTGTGTTGTAAATATTTGGAACAAACTACAATAATAAAATATATCACTAAATGTAAATTAACAGGTTCAAGCTCCTCCCAGATTCTTGCTTTGCTGGAAGCCTACAGAAATTTGACGTGAAATGTTTCCGTGGGTTTAGAGGTTGGGGTAAGAAAAAGGGAATGTGTGGCAACTTCTTCCCTCTAACTCATTTAGAGTTTTACTTGCCTACCACTTCACTCTAATTATTTCTGCTTTTCTTTTTTTCAGAGATAATCCATAAAAATGGGTCTAAATAAGAACTGCTTTTGACATTTTGCTTTTTTATATTTTTGCCATTTGGCTTTTGAGTAAAAAGCAAAGAGAAAGTCACTTTGCTATTTACAATACACTTGAAATATTTTCTCTGGAATTGAATATACAGAAAGAAATCTATTAACATTTTCCAGGACAGCATTTATAAATCAGAATAAAAAGTGATCATATTTAGACCGATGATTGGAACAAATAGAAAATTTTGTATATTAATGTGATAAAATAATAGCTAAATATACTTAGCACATCTATGGCTCCGGTTACAAAATGTTTAGAACACAACAAACAGTACTATTTTTCTCATGTTATTCTATGAGGGAAGAAGATAATACGTCTCCATTACATGGAGTAAAGAGAAAACATAATCAGTTCATGGAGGACAGTTTAAGTTGGTCTGCCAAGGAATGAAGTCCAAACCTATCCCCAGTTCAAACCGGCAGCAAATCTATGAGTTTTAATGGGACCTGCACACCTAGCTTTACATCATACTCTGAAATGAGGGAGAGAAGAGCCTCATTTTATTGCCAAATCAACACAAAACACATCCAATTAGAAGCTTTTTTAATTCACAGTTTGGTTCAGACGCAAAGAAAGAAAATCTAGGTACATACCATTGATTATTATTTTTGTGCCTCCCACATTTATGGATTCAATCTGATCTTTCTTTTGAAGCTAGAAACAGAGTTTGCACAAGATCAGTTAATTGGACAAGTCACTTTTGCAGTATGATTGTTACAATTGCCAGACCTAGAACAGCTGTGGCCTTTTTGTGATGTGTGTGTTACATTTCTGTGTCCTTCTGACATACAGTGATTTCTAGCAGTTCTCATTTTTATTGTCTTGATCAGTGCACGAATAAAGTTCAAAACTGAAAGATAAAATGCATCTGAAAGGAAATTATAATACTTCATTTTTTTTTGTCACACCCCAGATAATCCATGATATAGAAACAGGAATACAGGCAGGGGTTATGCTCTCTGAAATCTTTCAAAAATTCTTGTTCCAGTGACAATCTGTTCTGTTCCTAGAAATAAATTAGTAGTTTCATGACTTTTTTGATAACATGCTCTGTGAAATCACTGTTATTTAGCTTATCTATGTTGAATTGCTGGTCTGTTTCCTCATGAGCTCAAAAGAAGAAAATTCATCCATATTATTTCTACAGCAATATTGTCAAACTTCTTCAGATTAGAGGAAAAGGATATGCCTTCATATCCAAGGTGCTTTTTTTCTAGAGTAGTTCATGTAGTTTCATGCTTTTGACTTTTATTATGTAGGGATGATCTGACCTTTGTGACTAACTTCTGTCTGACATATACATATAATTACATTCTTTGCTACATGCAGACAAATTTTTGCTTTCACAAGAATAATGAAAGAAAATGTTAGGAAAATTGTACTTGCTTGTTCTAATCCTGACATTCCACATGCAGCCACATGAAAAACACAGTCAACCCCTTCACATGCTGTGAACACTGCATCATAATCCCTCACATCACCCTGTAAAATGAGAAAAGAATGGATTTTTGACTGGTAGAGTCCATTACATTCTCTATAGAATTAGTATTAACTGTGGCTATCAAGGAAAATTTAAAATAATTCTGATCTATTTTTCACAATACTTAACTAGACTTAAATAAAACATTATAAACTTGGAGAAAAATCCATGACTAAGAATTCTGTCAGTTTTTTGTTGCAAAACAAATATGACTCTTGTTGACTTCAATTATAACGCGTATTTTCACACTTAGTCCTGCATCCTACAGGCTGATAAAACTTGTTTGACTTGAATGGGAGCAGCATATGCTTGAAGGCTGGAGAATCAAGCCTCAAGGACAAAATACCACAGCAGGATTTGGTGGCTCAGCTGTTTGCCAAATGAAAGAACCCCTTTTCTGTTAGCACCTTAAGGTCTAACTTGTGCAATCTGGAAAAATGGCTCTGCTGATTTAAGCTTTATTTTAGGTGCACTGAATGATAAATTTAATTACAGTTTTGTACAAGATTAAAACAAAAAAATGCACACTATGCATCTAATAATACACTAATGTATACTAATGCAATATAATTATGTTATTTGAAATGCTATATGCTAGTGAACACTGTACTGTATTAAATACACACACTATATCTAGTATCAAGTGTTATGCTATGGTTAGGATATTGTATTACATTTTTGTATACCAGGTAATACTATATGAATAATAATCCACATACATACAGATATGAGTAAAATATATTTGTTTGCAGAATTGTGATACTTCTGAGTATCAGATATTCTTTATTGTACTGTAATGAAATTGAAAGAGTAATCACAAAAGAAATGGCTGGAGGTAATTTTAAGAGGTAACCTAATTTTAAGAGGTAACCTAATCAGTCTTTAACTCTCAACATTTTTCTTCAGAGGTTGCCAAAGAATTTCACAAAAATGGTTGACTTACACCCTTCCAACTTCAATCAAATGCTAAAATAGCTAACCAGTATAAACAATATTAGCAATCTTTGAATCACTGTTGAAGATCTCTGAAGTGACTTGTTATTTACCAGGAGTGCATAGTTCCATTTCCTAGTTAATTCACCTATACTTCCTAATATCTATTATTATAAAATATTCTTTTAAAAATTGAATTTAAAATCCTCAAAACTGTTGTTCTCTACAAGATGTAAGCTGCCATCAATTCATCAACTTAAATCAAATTGTGTAGATGTAGATAAATATAACAACCTCTTTTTGTTTCTGTTGAACTGACTCCTCATTTCACCTGATGGCTCTTCCTTCTTATACTGGAAAGGACAGTGAACAGTCAATACGTACCTGTCTCAGTGTCACTCACAGTTTGCAGACCTCTCTATTCCCAAGTCTTTTTCCTAGCCTGGAAAGTCTGTTTCCTCAATCATTCTCTGCACAGCAGTCATTCTAAACTTGTGATCACTTTTATTGCCCTGTCTTGCTGTCACCTTTTGACTCTAAATAATCTCCCTGAGTAGTAAACTTCTTCACCTACGTGAGCTATGTGTTGAATGGCACCTCCCATTGGTGGGAGGACTCTCGAACTTCACTGGTGACACAGAACTGACCACCTTGACTCTGCTGTCTCTTACTTATGCACATGAGGAACTTTTACCATGACTTATTGTCTTTAAAGGCTTTTCAGTAAATGCTTTTATCAAAAATCCGTAAGAAGAAGCCTTGCTAAATGTGCATAAAAGTAGTAGAACTTAATTCACTGCTGTTAAGTATGTAATTGCAACATACCTTGAAAAAATCTGCTCCCTTTGGGATTTCCCATTTAGGTTTCCGTATGTCAAACAGAACAACAGCAATTCCTGACCTAACAAGAGCACATCCCAGATTGTATCCCAGGTAGCCTCCACCTCCTGTCACCATTGTTTTTCTGCTTTTGTTAACCAGTAGTCCAGCATGCTCATTTAGGTTGCTCTCACATGGTCGGCTGCTGTGGAGCTCTTCTGTGGATCCTTCTTGCATCACGACTGCAAAACAGAAGATCTCCTGAAAATCCTGCTAATACTTTTAAGATCTAGGTAATTTCAGTAACTTTCATGTTGCAATGTTACATGTTACTCCTTTCTTGACTATATTTATTTATATATTTTTATTATCTTAACATGTTTAAAATGTAAAATGATTTTGGTGACGGATTTTCTACGTACAATGACTGATGAACCTGAATGCTTTTATATTCCAAGATCTAGTCTTTTCCTCATACTCACAAATTTCATATTATATAGAAAAAAAGAGAAATTGCAGGATTTTGAAGATGTTATATTACCTAACCTTAACAGGTACAATTACCTTTTTGAATGCTTGGTATATCAAACATTTTATCCTTGAAAACTCATGCCTTTTGATATATTCATGCCAAAGAGAGATTAGCCTACTAGTCCGGGGAAAAAAATAGATCAGGAATATAAGAAAGGATTTATTCTGCTTTTTAAATACACTTTATTTCACATTTGGGTCACAGTTACCATTTTAAACCTTTCTGGTTAGTCTTCTGCCCAGTTCTTATTAACCTTTGTCCATATTCTTCTCATTGGAGCACTCATATACAGCTATACTGACAAGGAACACAAGCCCTCTGCCCTGGGGGTTCATATACTTGGGGAAACTGATTATAATATAATTCTGTGATAAGCCATTCAACAGGAGTTAACAATCTGTATACTTTGTTCTGTATTAAAAATGAAATTTTTCTACAGTAATCACTTCAGAAATTCACTCATATTCTGCATTTAATGTGACTGGTATTTCAGATCACAATATACTCCTAGAAATTAGCCCAGCATATTTTCCCCCAAAGGCAGCCTCTCTGTCTGATAACTTGTACAGCCTTTGCACATTAGGATCTAAGTTCTTAGGTCCCCAGACAGAAATGCAGAATAAATAAATCTGAAATCTGTTAAATTAAGCCACTTTAAAGTGGGAGCCAAACTGGGTGCCTGCCAGTCTAATATAGGAATATAAACCCAATTTTGCCAGATTATTATGGTTTTCTCATAGTTGGAGTGGGTCCTTATAGCAACATCCCCACACATGAGAGTACACCATTTTCCACCAGCTGGGCTGCTTAGCTTAGGTATATAAGCATAGTTAGCTCTCAGTCTTTTATACCAGGCTTCAAAAGAGATTATGCAAAAACTGGTAACTGGTAGCTGCATCACTTCCAGGGTGATTAAAAAATACTGGAAAAGCAACAGAAAATGCAGCCTACAGTACACAAGATTCCAGACTGGTTTTGCCGTTGCTTAGTTAGGGTTTTGTTTTTTTTTTAATATAGTTTAGTTTGTGATATATTTCTTATTTTACACATTTTTTAGCTTTCAGACACAAGGAAGTAAGTACCAGATCCTCCAGACTGTGAGGCAGTTTTAACACCAATGTCAGCTCACTACATTCAGTGAGCTGAATGGCATAATATGGTGGAAAAGATATGAGCTCGTTATGTTGAAAAACATCCTGACATTTCAAAAGTGAAAAGTAATCCACATTTCCAAACAAAGTTTAAACTAGAAATAACATAATAAAACTAAAACAAGTAAGCTTTCTTGTTCAGTCAATGAAATTTAAACTGGCATCTCTGGATTATGCTACACAGTAGTTAAGACATATAAAATATTTTGCCTTGTTTTCTGTGAAAATGCACGGTTTTATATACTAAGGTCAAGCTTGTGACATACATCATAAAAAGATGTATCTGAAAAATGGCATATATTTGAATACTTATTAATATCTCCTTAAATTTTAAGTAAGATGGAAGTTGTATTAAAAAGTTTAAAGATTTTACTAGAAATGTCCTTCTTAAAAAGCACTAATAGCATTAATATACTAATCTGCTTCATGGAATTTGAAAATTATAATCAAATTTTGAATGTAAATAATTTACTGTAAGAAAATACTTATTTCCAGAATCACTAACTTCCTTGTTTCTCTAAATTTATGGAGCTATTCTGATTTATTAGTGTATTCTGCATGATGAGCATAGTTACACAGTGCACGCTGTGTGTGTTGCTCTTAGCTCCCCTACTGTCATTTCAAATATAAGATACGCACAAGTTACTTCCATAAAGAGTTAGACTCAAACATTTCAGGTTTTTAAAAACAGCTAAAGAAGTAGGTAAGTACCCTTCGTAGAATCCTGGATGTCAGCGTTCTCCCAGTCCTTCCTGTCCAAGTATGATGGTGAGATTTCTCTTTCCTGGACAATTAGTAACACAAGGACATCCAGTACTCTCAGACAAACAGAAATGTTCACGTGTGCTCAGGCCCTTTTGCTGTTCCTGCTCCTTTGTAGTTGGTGGCTGGGCTGGGAGCCAAAAGAGGGCAGGGCTTAATGTGTATATAATTTATGCTCCTTTTCAGGAAAAAGGAAATGTTTTCTCCACATGAGACCCTTCTAAGTAGGATGGTATCTCTTACCTTGTAGAAGTATTGACAAGATGCTAGACAACACAAATATACTATTGGTGCCATCATTCTGTAGATATGTTGTACTAGATTACAGAAACATCTCACACTGTTTTTACAAAGCACAGAGAAAAGGGTTCTTAACTAAAGAAAACAGGAAAGAAATTCTTAACACTAATGCTTAAAAGTAAACCTCTCTCACAGTTGTGTGAATCTTTGGTGAGATACATCTCATCTAAGAGCACAGTCTCCTTTTACCTGCAGTTTTCAATCTAAATTTGAATAAAGAGAAGAAACATAAAATCTTGTTCGGCAGTGGTACTTAACACTTTCACCCTGAGTTTTCTATCTTCATCCCCAACCCAATTATGTATTTGCAAAGAGACTTAACTGTAGGTACAAGAGCTGTTCTCTGGCTTCCAAGACTGATGAAGTGCATGCAGCAAACTAACTGGTGCACAACAGAACAGGAAAAGGTGATGTACTATTAAATAATGCATTTAAAATTAATAATTAATTAAATGATTAATAATTATAGAAGTTCTGTAATCCTAAAATGTTTAAAACACATATCCTTTTGCAAACTAAACAATGAGAAATCAAAGCCAACTTTATAAAGTGGGTGTGTCTAAAATTAGGTCTCAAAGCAGTAGTTAAGATGCTAAAGAAACACTCCCAAATCTAAGTGACTACAATTTTAAGTGTTCACGTTAGAAATATCTCAAGTTCACAGGTGACTTTGACATTTAAATGTAATTTAATGTTCATGTGCTGACAAGAACTCAAGCTGACACTTAGGCAAATATATATTAGCATAACATATTATATATTTAAGTTCCTGTAGTCTGCATTAGGACTAGAATCTTTGAACCTGTCAAGTTAATTCTCAGATTGCCAGGTAAGTGAAAACCCAGCTGAATAAAACCCCAAGAATACCAAATTCTCTGTTACGAGCTGTCCACAGCACTGATAGCTTTTACTATTGAATCGGAGAAAGAAAGTAGCTGTTCTGTCTCTGGACTACGACAGAAGTCCTGCACAAGTCAAAGCTGTTGGCAGCTTATTCATAGCATATCGATACCTCACTGCTCAGTGAAAATCAGCAAAGAGCATTTTAAGTTGGCTTTAGGTTCCACCTTAGCCAAGAGGAAACACCTCAGAAGAGCTTTCAGAACTGGTATTTTGTACCTCTCCTGTTACACTTATTCTCCTATCTTTAATGAAGAAGAGAGGTAGCCTTATGTCATTCACTGCATCCTGCCAAGTCCATTTGAAAGAAACAGAAGCTGAAGTTGCAAGAAAAGCTGTTAAATCAGGATTTAAACTTGCTTTTGGTCTTGAATCACTCTATACAGCCCTTTTCTACTTTTTCTTCTAAAATCACTCAGCTCATGTAGGTACACCAAAATAAACAAAATATGCAGTGCTTCTAGGAGATGACTGCATAAAATACAACAGGAAGGTGTCAGCGAGTTTACTTCTTTATTTCATGGAGAAGGCCCACATTTCTGAAATGTTATGTCAGCTTATCAAAATGTTACTTACATCCAGACTGTAAAGCCATGTTGAAATGTCATTGCACTGTTTCACAGAGGAACCTAGTAAGCTTACATGAGTTAGTTTGAAATCACAAGCTGATAGATGCACTGATAAATCTGAATTGAGTAAGAAGAACCTGGCATAAAAAAGAGAAGACACTACCTGTTCTCCGGCATACAAAGGAAAAGACTCATTCCTATGCTAATTCTATGGGCACCAGTGCTGGGTACTGGACCACAGTGAGGAGGTCCAGACCATGACCAAGAAGACACATGTGTGGAGACTGGGTCTTTGGCCCTTTCATTCAGCATGTCCCATTAACTTCATAGGTGTGCATTTCAGGTCACAGAACAGGAGCAATATTCCAGCTGTGAGGTAATGCAAACCTCGATGAGGGGTTTTAATTCTGTGGAAGACACTATTCAGAAAGAAGCCTTAACCAAAGCATGAAAAGCTAGCCAGAGGTCCGAGTTAAAATGACAGCCGGATGTTTGGCATGAGTCACAGGCAGTTCTACAGTGCCCAAGGGCATAAGAACAGCAGAAAAGCTTAAGAGACTAAGCTCTCTTTTAAAGCTATCTCAAAGATAGGATTTTGCTGAAATAAGTGTAGCATAAAAATAGCATCTGTCTTATTAAAAATTCTATATCTAAGCTGTAAATTAGTAGAGTTGTTTAAGCTCATCATGTGTTTGTAGATCTCCTTATGCACTTGTTCACATCCAGATGCCCAATCATATGTACTGATGCAATCGTATGAACTCATAGTGGTAAGACTCGTTTGGATAGCATACCAGAGAGCTGATGCTCTCTGCAACCCCAAAGAAGTCTGAACATATCTGTTGTAGGGTGTAAGTACTTTTGACTAAAAGTATTTAGCTCTTTGTGACTACAAAAACAATCATCCTCCTAACAAGGACTGAGTCTAAACCAGAGAGCTGAGAGAACTGAAGTCACAATAGTGAGATATTCACATTTTAAGTAAGAAATGACAGAAAATGTTAAAAAGCATTTAAATCAGAAGGCCTTGCAATGTTAATGGAAAATAATGGAACTCTCTTCTAAACAACATATCTCACTGTGCTTAGAATTTTTGCTTCAAAAAGAGAAATCATGGGATCTGAATTTGGAAAAGGACACTTAAGAATATTTACTTTTCATACAATCAAATGCTAAATATTGGCCCATATCAAATATTTCTAAGGAATGAAGTTGTCCTTAAAAAATTTCCCCAACACAATATTAATGCAACAACAGATTTAATTTACATACCCCAAGTATGCATTGCTCAAATGCAACATTAAATACTTTACATAACACAATGTTCTTCATATTCTTTGCTAAATTAGAAAAGTAAGATACAGAGGCAAAACAACTTACCCATGTCACACTGTAAGTGTATGCCAGAAGGGAAAAGAAGATGCAGATCCTTATTCCTGTTATTGGACAAAAGGCATATTTTCGATGCTTAATACAGCAAAACAACAACTGTATGCTAGGACTAAGTTAAGATCCTTTGGGCAGTAAGCTCCCTCTCATTTTTTCATTACAGAAAGATACTAAGCATTCATCACCATGCATTTCAGTACCTCTTGTAAAGAGTTCTTCTCTGTATAACAATTTAATTACACATTTCTGTTTAATATAATACTAACAAAGTTCCAAAAGTACATTTAGTAGAGAAGATATTTTGCTTTTTCTGTTTTTCTTAAATCCAGTCATCTGTTAATGGCTTTTTCTTTTTAATACTACCAGATACAGTGTTTCTAAAACCAAAAGTATCTAGCACTTTAGATGTGTTTTTGCTTTTCTCCTTAAATCCCTCAGTTCTTCGTTAACATACATAAACATCCTCAATCTATTCCTTCCTTTTTCCTATGTCTTTGTGTATTTATTTGTGTAAGGATTCTGCATATTTCACCATTCCCTCATGGGAGGAATAAAGCACACACAAACACTTCAAAGCACAGCCTTGGAATGTGTCATCTAAAATGCTTTTCCAGTTATGTTGTTCTCATTTACTCTGCATTCCTAGTTGCTTCGCATGCTGCACAGACTGATTTACAGGTCAAATGAAATGATAACTGTGAGACTGCATTGCCACGTCAGGGTGGAATCACAGGAAGAAACAAAGCAAATTCTCATAGCAACAATGAATATGCCCTTTATCAGCTCTCTCTCAGGTCTGGCTAGAGAAGGAGACAGTTTATGCAATATTTGAAGGGAAGGAAAACAAATGCATCATAAACAAAAATACTGCATTAACTTGTATTGAATAACAGCATGTTTCTATATAATGAGCAGGGATGACAGCTTGGCTTCTTACATACAGGAATCGCAGAGGAAACAAGGAAGCCACAGGAGCTATATATATACATGGGCTTTAAAAAGATTATTGAAGACCAATCCTAATAGGTTTCATTTTAATTTAAAGGTTTTCTAACAGTTATTGCACAGGAAGAGAGAAGTACAAATCATCATGACTACTACATGGCTTGTTTTCACACCTAAAAAAACATTGGAGGAGTTAAAAAAGCATGGGAGACGACTTAGGATGGATGGAAGACTAGGATCTGTTTTGCACTATGCCAAACAGATACCATTTAAAAACTTGTGATAGTTTCTACCAAGTTTAATTTACAAATATCCATTCATCTCTACTGTTATTAAGCCAGAAATTTTTAACATAAGCTTCAGAACTTTCAAAGTAGGAAAAAGAAAAAAGCTTCTAAGACAGATTTGTCGTTTGCTAGTTATTTCTCTGTTAAGGAAGAGTTTTGGTACCAGATAAACTGAGGTCACAATGACAAAGGCAGCCCAAATCATTGAAAGCATATAAACTGTGGCTTACAAGGTCAGCCTAATCTACCTACCAAATTCTGGGCAGAATTTATGATTCTAACTGAAAACTATTCACAGTTACCCATTCTTGCTGCAAAAACAGCACTCTCCTGATAGGTGGCAGAACACATACTTCAAGGGCAACTGGTTTGGCTGTTTAATTCATTGCATGCAAATCAACATATTCAGTGAGTCATAGCAATGACACGACTTACAAACAACCTGCCAGAAAAAATATGTATCTTTGTTAATTGTAAAACTCCTCTTTTATTATGTCATGAATACAGTGAATGCATTCCAGGAAGCAAATGACATATACCTGACAGACCAACATTGAAAAGTCATAAACAGAGCACTCAACTAGTCAGGCCATCAGAACTGAACCATCTCCTTAAAACTGATGGGAGCAGGTAGGATGGGAGTTTCTAGGAGACAGAAACTATATTTTAAAGGAAGGAGCTGCTCTGAATAGATAGCAGGACTCAGCAGCCTGTCAAGCAAGACAAAGGCTTCAGAAGCACAGAGACAGGCTGCACAGCCTGGAAACACTTGCAAAGAAATTAAGGACGGGATGTAATGGCTAAATACTGTAACATCCAACTATTTCATAGCTTCTGTGGTTACACAGATTCTAACATCAACATTTGTTCCTTGCTTTTCAGTTGCATTTTTCTTGAACTTAAAACCCCCTTGAGCTCACACCACCAGCAAAAAGAAGATTCCTGAATTCCTAACACCTTCTGCAAATCTGGGAGCATGCTGAAGGGAACCAGAGAAACTTGCTATGCTCTACCCACAGAAACAAATGACCAGTCTACACCAGAACAGCTGAGTAATGGGGTGAGCATTAGTGTAGGTTGCCATGAATTTAGGATAGATGCACTGACGATCAGTCTACAGAGACACTGTGTTTTGAATGAGTAAAATCTCTGAACACCAAATATTACACAGGGAAAAACAAAAGGCTGTAAATGAGAAGTTTGTCAGAATGCAGTCTAAACAACACAGACAGATTCTGATGCTTATCCACATTTGCAAAATCTGACATGTGCATTATCTTATTTCACAGGAAGTCTCTGATGTAATTTAACATACCTGCACAAGTATATTTCATCATTTAATATTTACATACCCCAAATGAAAATGTAATGATCCTATTTACAATTAACATTTTCATATCAAAGCATCTCAATAGTTACACATGTACCAACATATATGCTAACATATATGCCACAAGACGTGGTGCTGAATAGCACAAAACACCATTTTAAACGCAGTAGTCCACAGTAGGCTGGTACTAACATGGAATGCAGGAGTCAGCTGCTGAACATACAACACTAAAAAGAGCCTTTTATGGTAGAAAATTTTTAATTCCTTAGGGAGGCAAAACAGATGGAGGGACATAAAAGATATCATCCATATGAAGGTACATCCCATTCATTCCCATCAGCTGGCACTCAGACATGCAAATGGCTCCTAAACAAATTCAGATCAAGTGTCTGAATTTTGCAGTCTGAATCCATTTTTATTAAATATTACATACATTAAACAAATGAGATGAACTCTTAACCCTCTAAAAGACAACAGTAAACATCTACAAAATAGCAATGAGCTGTCATTGCAGAGTTTCTCAGTAAAAAAGCAAAGTGCATTTCATATTTATAAATCAACTAGAAAAATATATGCTTTATCACTGTAGTTAGGTTAAACTTCATTTTCTTATATGGTACTAGCAAACATTTTTAATCTTTTTAGGACAGGAAACATATAAGAACCTAACAAAATTGCTTAGAAGACTGCCAGTGTCTGGTTATACAACCAAATATAACCAGGCTTTATCAGCAACAAGACATTGCTTATTTGTATGTCTGATGATTTCTCAGCTACCAACTCTAAAGCTTTCTCTACTGCCAACACAAGAAACAATGTGGTGAAATAAGTATAAGCAAACTTCTTTGGCAAAAACGTTCAATCCAAGCCTTTTTTCTGCACTAAGGTTATTTCTTAGACTTCTGACACAAAACTGGCACAAAGAATTCTCTTTCTAGTATCACAGCCACCTGTCCCATCTGTTAGGGATAATGAGCACCAGCAAAGGAGTCTCAAACCAACTGCCAAAAAAGTTATCTTGGCCATACCACTGATTGAAGCAATTATTAGTATGATGCAGCAGAATAGAAGAGAAACAAAAGCTGTGACCCTGCATAACTACTAATTACATTAAAAATACACATACACTTTTAAAATTTGCATTAGTTATATTGAAAAATATCCTCTTACATATGTTTAAACATAAGCCTTTAGTGTTCAGGGCTTGATTTACTTTGAGTCCTACAAAGTCAGCAGCACTTATCTGTAACTTCTTCCAGAAGCTGAGACAACAAAGAATACATCTTCCCTCTTTCTCCTTGAAGCTGTAAGCTTTAAGCACACTCTGAAAGGAAGCAGGCTAGTGGTACCACTCCAAACTTCTTCCATCTTTTCTTCATCTAAAATTTAATCCTACAAGTCAAGCACATGAATAGTTTTAAAAATACAATTCAAAATACATAAACTGCATAGGCTCACCATTACCCTTAGCAAAATGGTAATGGAAAACTAGTATAAATTAACTTGATTAACTTTCAGTTTTCCTTACTTACATGTAAGGAAATATTTAATTTAATCATTCTACAAGTATGTCTTTCTATACACTCTACAAGCAATAGTTTACCTTGGAAGGTTGAAAGACAGAGATGGCCATGGAAAAGTAGCCTCTGTCTCTATATGCCTGTAACAACTTTCTTGCTGCTACAGGGTGATTATATATCTGTATCCTCTCCAAGCACCTCTCTTTAGTGATCAGCCTTTATGTGCTGAATTCTGCACATACCTGACCAGGCTCCAGATTCCATTCTCCAGGAAGAAAGCAAGCATTCTTAACCAGTGGGTCTAAGTATTTTTTCCCTTCTCTTTGAATGACTGGGCAATGATTATAAACCAAAATACAAACCTCAGCTATAGAAATAAGAATTTAAAAACCAGTCTCACTACATCTCTGCCTTACCCAGTTCTTTGATGAGTATCTTGGCAGGCCTAAGTTCTCTAGAGTAACTCTCTGTAGTTGTCTGCATGTCTACCTTTTCCTCCCAAACAGCTCTGTGACAAATGCTTCCGTCTTGCTTAATGCTGAGAAAAGTACTTCCATCCAGCAGTATCTCTTTTCCTGTAATTTTTAAAGCAGGTTGGCTCTGCCAGAGGTTTAGTTTGTCCAGCTGCTTCTCCCACAACTTTGTAACAATAGTTCTGTGTTTGCTGAGACTGTCTTTACTATTTGTGGGGGCTTTTTCAATCAGCCTTGTTCATTTAACTGATAAATCATGCATCCCATGTAACAATAGTTATTACAGCCATTACATCTGGTCCTAACCCTCTCATGTGCTTAGCTGTTTGCTCTTTGAAAGAGCTAAACCATTAATAACTACAAATACACATTTCCCTTCCTACTTTTACGACATAGTTCCTTTGAACTGTTCTTTGTGTACAAAGCTACACTGTGGGCTAGCTCAGCTAAGAGCTAAAATCATTACAAATGTTTTCAACTTTGCAGAAAGTCACTGCTGGAAATTAATATATTTTACATTAGGGTTATGAGATATTATCCTTCTACTGAAATACATAAACTATCACCTATTTGTGGTATTTACCTGAGCATTTTTTAAAAGCCAGAATTGTCCTTTTGGTTTATATACCATTTTTGAAGTAATAACCTGTTTGAAAGAAAAACAAAATCTAAAGAATTACACAGCTTTTCACAGAGACATATAGTGCCTTCGTATCTTTGTTTAGCCATGTACTTGTGTGACAGAAAATCTTTTCATTAAGGAGATATATTGCATTTTAAAGCTTTTTTGCCTGCTATTACTATTGAAATGGTACTTTCTGGTTTTGGATTAGCATTTTGGAAGTGTAACAATGAATGGTAGGATGACACAATTTAACTGTCCTTTACTCCAGTTCTAGGCAGGTATCAGAACTAACTCTGAATTATACCAGAAGCAGCATGGAATGGTGTGCAATCCGAGCTAATTCAGACTGCTGAGATACAGATGGCATGCAGTGCCAGCAGGGCTATGCTGCTTCCAGGAAACTAGCACATTAGAGTCCACTCGCATACCTCTGTCTGGCATCACATTTTACTGTTACCTGTTATACGATGGCTAACGGAAAAGGAAACCTCATGTTGAGGGAGGATGCTGAAGAGAAGATGAGGAAAAGAAAAGAAAGGGAGACAAACCTAAGGAGTGTTGGCACCATGTTCTTATTCTATGCAGAAAGAAGGGAGCTAAAAATTACAGTAAAGAAGGAAAGGGGAAGACACATTGTGCACTCACAGCCCAGAAAGTCAACTGTATCCTTGGCTGGATCAAATGAAGCATAACCAGCAGGTCAAAGGAGGTGACACTCCCCTTCTGTTATCATGAGACCCCACTTGGAGTGCTGTGTGCAGCTCTCGTGTCCTCAACATAAGAAGGATATGGAACTCTTGGAGCAAGTCCAGGCAAGGGCCACGAGGATGATCGGGGGACTGGAGCACCTCCCGTATGAAGACAGGCTGAGAAAGTTGGGGCTGTTCAGCCTGGAGAAGACAAGGCTGCATGGAGACCTCATAGCAGCTTTCCAGGATCTGAAGGGGGCCAACAAGGATGCCAGAGAGGGACTCTTCATCACAGACTGCTGTGATAGGACAAGGGGTAATGGGTTTAAACTTAAACAGGGGAAGTTCAGACTAGTTATAAGGAAGAAGTTCTTTCCTGTGAGGGTGGTGAGGCACTAGAACAAGCTGCCCAAAGAAGTGGTAAATGCTCCATCCACAGCAATGTTCAGGGCCAGGCTGGACAGGGCCTTGAGTGACATGGTCTAGTGTGAGGTGTCCCTGCCCATGGCAGGGGGGTTGGAACTAGGTGATCTTAAGGTCCTTTCCAACCCTAACTATTCTATGATTCTGTAACAGAACAAATTATTCCGGTAGGCTTGAGACTTAACAGAGAAAGGAAAAGGAGAGTCAAATTATTTAGAAAGCAGAAAAAGTCTGAGATTGAGAGATGAGATCTTTCTGAGAAAAATTAATTTGTCAGATGCTTCAGGAAATATAAGAGAAGTGAAGTGGAAGATTTAGGGAATCTTCCCAGGAAAAAGGCTAGTAGAAAATGTACAGGTCTTTAGGGGCAAAAAGAAAGGGAGACTGATGGTAACTTGAAAAGTAAATGGTTTGAGAAGGGATTGTCTGACAACAGAAGAAAGATCTCACACTATTCCATGCAGAGAATATAGCTCTAGCAGACAGAGAATAGACGATGATGCAGTTAGATAAATCAGGATGAGCCCAAAAAGATTTTGGAAAATGAAAGCAATTTGTATTTCTAAGTAAGAAGTCATAAAAAAAAGGAAGAGGTAAAAGATGTTCTAAAGATGTTCTTCTAAAAAGAACATTACATCACAAGAGACAATTTTCTCTTTTAATAATCCATGCAAAGAGAAACATATTGATCTGGCAAATGAGAGAACTAAGGAAGGAGAGGAACAGCTTAATGTAATTTCGCTTTGACGCAAGAAATGGAGGAATAACTGAGAAAACAACAGCCCTGAACTTTAATACGTTAGAATCTGCTCAGATCCTCTACTATGATGGTAGCTAATCGTGTAAAACCTTAAAACTAAGTCCCTCTTCCTTGCATATCATTTCTAAGCCTCAAAAAACCCACTAAAATTGACAGCACAAGGAAAGAAACAGTGACTCCTTTTTAAATATCAGACACAAAGTCATATATTGTTGTCTTCCGTTCATGAAATACAAAAGCAATTACTGAAAAATTCTTAATACCTCAAAGATTTTGCCTGCTTTAAGAAACCTCTAGCTTTTGCTACTTCTTGAGTAAGCTTCTTTAAATCATCTCCTTCAAAGTACGGGAAAACTGGATCCTGAAAACAGAATTAAAATATTCTTCTTTATTTTGCACCTATTTATTATTTTCAATTTCTACCAACTTAATTACCTGAGCCTAAACTGTCAATCTCCCTCCTCCTATCTACTTGCAGAGAAAGTCTTGGTCTTAAAAGGGGAGAGTAGAGCAACTTTGGATTGAACATGGTTCTGTTCACTAACATATTCTTCTGCTCTGGCAATCCCCGAGGTTTCCTGCTGCAGAACTGAAGTGCTACAAACAGTGTAAGGATTTTACAATTACATAAATGAAATACAAGATAGCAAGGCTAAGAAGGCACAGTAAAAGCTAAAGTTAACTTAAAATCCACAGTGTCCAAATGCAAGATTATTATTGGGTTTTTTTGCTTCTCTTTCAAAAACTATGCTGCATTGTGTAATTCTTTCATGGGTTTCATCACCTGGCCAAGGCAGCTAGCAGAGAGGCAAAGCCAGATATTCAAAAGTCTCCTTTCAGTTTCAATGTGAAGTATCTTATGAATCTTCTATTTATTTTTCTCATGATTTTTCCTTTTCAAATGAAGTGTGACTATTAGTAAAGAACTAAGCTGAAATGAAGCAAAACCAAACCCAACAAAACCAATCCATTTAACATACATCTTCATCATCAAACCCCTCTGCCAACATTCTGTGTGCTGCTAATTGTCCATCCACATCTCCAAAACTGCAGTGGTAGCGCCCTCCTGTTTGGGAAGCAAGCTTCTTCAGAAATTCATTAGCTCCTCTGTTAACAACAAAGTACTAAGTTACTAAGGAAAATTATTTCTTTGAAAGCAACAGCAATAGAAGAAGACTTTCTAAGAATTCCTCAAAAAAATATTACACCAAAACAAATGGTTTGGAGGACATGACTATAAACCACTGCATCATTTCTCATTAACAGTTGTTAATGTGGAATACACACTGCTTAGCTGTCGTAACAGGCTATTTTTGGACACAACGTTCAGTGTAGCAATGGAACCAAAATTTAAAGTAAATCAAGAAATCCAGAAGCCAGGCTGGCAGGTGAAGGGCAGTTCATATTTTACATATGGGGAGAAAACTGAAAGCCAGGAGACTCTGCTAAGAGTCACACACTTGTACTGCCATTTATACATCATTATTTTAGAGTCCTGTCTCCCAAGCACTAGCACTGCAAAGTCAAAAATAGTCATACAGCCATTAATTTCAAGTAAGCTGCAAGGACTGATTCCATCCTAAAACGGGACACTAAAATATCCACAATTAACTAGCAGATTTCTTTGGAAAGAAACAGCAAAAGAACAACTTTTCATCAGAAGTGACATGTTTCTCCCTCACTAGCAGATAACCTGAACAGATAGTTACTGGCTACTGACCAGTTAATCAAATGATATGCAAATAAAGAAACCCAAAATATTCATAATTACAATACTTTTAAGTTGATTTTTTCAACTTAGATCCAATAATTCTATGTATCGAGCACTCTACTACATCCCCCTTTAATGGCTTGAAAAATGACAACCATACCGTTCAGTGAACTGAGCATGTTGTCCAGCAGCTTGACAATAAACTAATTCTAAAGTTTTTATTGTTCTTGCAAAGTATCATATACCTGTCTGCACAGTGAAAAGAAATAGTGTGAATTTTAATATCTTGTTTCTTTCTCAATCTTTCAACTTCTGTCAAAATCAGACTGTAACTGGTGTCTGGTTTTCCATCAGTCAATACGTACAGTGCCTCTATACCTTGGAAACTGAGACCCTTCTGAAAAGTAGAAAATAAATAATTAGTACATTTATATGAAAAGTTAAGAATGAAAACACTATTCCAATGATTTAGTATTGTTTCATATTTACCACTCGTTAATCAAATGAATGTTGGCTTTTCACTTCATATGGAAAAATAAGGATATAAATTTTAAAAATAACCAAGTAGATAATCTGTAGCATAATGCAATATATTCCTAAGAAAAACATCACCAAAAACTTGAAATAAGCAAATTAACGGGTTTTGGAGAACTGCTAACAGAAGGCTTTAGCGTAACATTTTGTAAGAATTAAAGATGCTCAATGTCTGCAAATCAGGGTCACTGGGAATTGGCCTTTTTGTATTACTGAAAACTGCTACAGTAATTGACTCTGTGAACATTTTTTTAATACAGACATGCCTTACAGTTCTACTTGATTTGATTCATGATGAATTCCATAAAATTTACTCCAAGGGTGTCTGAAAGAAGAACCATGCATTTAAGGCAACATTTTTTTTTATTAACATTTTAAATCTCATGAAATTCGAAGTTATTTCAGTCTCTGTTTTAAATTATTACTACTACTAAATTTCTAAAAGAGAAAAGTTTATTCACCTGTTACTGAAGTTCAAAGATTGTGTACTCAATGCTCATGAAATTCCAGCAAACACCACTTCTTTAAAATCCCCATTTGGCTCATAGCAAGTATCTCACTGCCACAGCTGTGCATTAGCATCACTTTGAGCTATTTTCTCTCTCTAGTATTTGAAAACAAATACTAATGCAACTACTGTTATTTCAAATTTTTCTTAAACTCAGTATGAGTAATGAATTCTAGTATCTACTAGCCTTGAGGACAGAAACAGTGGCTTGATTCTAGATCCATTAATGTTTTGCATGTAAAAATGCTGTATGTTTTGACCAAATAACTTTCCTAAACCATGACCAGTCAGATGAAAGTGTTATATCACTAAGACACAGCGTCTTCGCCAGAATGTAGTATACAATTTACTAACCTGTAAAGCCATAAGGGTGCATGTATTACCATCAGCGTGGAATGTGGACACCCACTGCACAGCACTGTGACATGTTTCGTCAGTTGCCTCTACAAGACACTCCTTCCAAGTCTCTGTATTTTCGGCAAATCTCAGCAAGTTAAACCTAAGGAGAAAGATGGCCCACAACATTAAACCCTAATCAATATTATCAGTCACTTCAGATAAGCCAGTTTTGAAATAAATAAACCAAACAAATTTGCAAACCCACTAGGAAAAAAACAAAACAAAATCAAACACAAAACCCAACCAACTTCTCTTCCCCACAAAACCCAAGAGCCTAATACTGGATTAAAGTCTTCAGCTTTAGGAGAGTCAGAAAGCATATCTCATTCTGCATGAACAGAATATCTATGGGTATTCTGAGCCCAAAGGATGAACAGCATCAGGCAAATGAGGCTCAAATCTTAAAGAGCTCAGAACTGAAAGTTGGTTAAAAAGAACAGAAAGAGCAGTTCATGTCACATGTGTATTATGTACCAACATATCTTAGTTACTTGTATTTTTTCAGTACTGTATTATTTGTTATTAAGTAATCTTATGACATAATAAGTAGTGCAGATTTCAGTCTTTATCAGCAGTTCATCGTACCTGACTTTATTTTTTCTCAGCTGTTCCCAGATAAGGGAGGTAAGTTCTTTCATGATATGTGGCAAATATGGGTCCATGGAACCAGATGTATCAATCAAAATACAGACATTTGCTTCTAAAATGGTACCAAACAATCTTCGGCTTCCTGGGCCAGAACATTAAAACTAATTGTCATTACATAGGCTTATTTTATTGAACATATTATTTTATTGAGCATACTGTAAAATCTTTAGTTTGTAGGGGTTATTCTAGGCATATTTCTACAAAATAAATTCTAATCTGTGTGCAGCTAGGTAGTTCAACAAGCAAGAGAGGGATCAAAATACTTTTCACCAGCAGAGCACATTCTTAGCAAAAGAAACTTTAAAGCTAATTTTGTTTGTTGATGTTATTGTATATATTCCATGGATACAAAGCTTTTGACACCAGGAACCTTAAATTTCTGAACACAACATACAAAAAGGAGAAGTTTATATCATAGCCCTAAGTATTTCACAGCAAGCTTGATGTTTCAGCTACACAGACAATGAATTCTCTTGTGTTCTTGTATTCATAAAAATACATTTTAAAAAGTCAATGAAATGCAAAACCAATTATTTTTATTTATATTTGAGGTCCAGATTTATATTCAGATTTATTGTATGATAAGCAGTAGACAAGAATATTTTATGTATGTTTCAACTGTGCTTTATACACAAGATGCACACTAGTACCTGACAGAAGCCACTGTATTCTTTCTATATATCGCCGCAACACTTTCTCCAGTTGTTCAGTGTAGATTTCCAGTTCTTTAGGTTGAAACTGCAGATGTTTCACAACTCCCTGGAAAAATCAAGATTTGGGGGGTTTGTCTTCACTTCTATGAAAGAGCGTAAAAAAATTTCTGTGACTCTGTTGCTATGTGGGTTTACCCAAATGAGGAAAGCCTTGTTCTCATCTCAGCCAGTTGAGCTGAACAACAAAATTTGACTAGAGAGGTGAGCCAGCTGCATTATCTCTGACATTTTTGTAGGTATAACAGAGCAATAGTATCCTGGACTTAATTTTCTGTGCTTCTCCCCAGGTGGTGCACAAACCCTAACAATGCAACATTTTTCCAGTTTTTACTCACATATAATTTTTAAAAGCTTTACTTAAAATTTTAAAATTGTTTTCCACACTGTATGAAAAGAGGAGATGCATTCTCCAGATTCCATGCATTTTCCACTTCAAACATACTAAATGATCTTTTATTCACCACAAGAAACCTTCTCTAGCTTTCTAACAGAAACATGATTCAGACAGACAACCAGGGAAGAGTGAAGGGAATATCACACTAGCAAGCCACAAATGCTGATCAACATGCATTGTCTTAAACACAAAACCTTTCAATGATGTAGGCAGATGAAGTCTGCAAATGCTTACATCAATTTCCACACTAGGGAAGACTGTGCAGTATTTTGCTGACACTTTCTTGTGCAGCGATGCCACAATTTTCTGACGGTGAGTACAGCCGGGACCAAACAGCAGTTGGGGCAATTCCAGTTTAAGCTTTTTAATACTGTACTTGGATAGCCACTGGTAAGACAAACAGATGAAGCAACTGGTTGCTAGTAAATAGTAAAACAGATTAAGTAACAATACATTGTAAGGAATCACAATTAACGTGTTCACATTAATTCATATGGATAATTCTCAAATGGCATTTCATTAGTAAGGGGCAAAGTACCTCTCTGCTTGAACAGATTTCCTCTTTGTTTGGCAATGTAACAGAGGGAACAGACTTTCCTATGCACATTACCTTTGGATACTTTTGGTATACTGGACCTAGTTAAGAAAATGAAGAAAGCAGTATTGAGAGCTTGAGGTTTAAATCACAGGCCTTTGATTCAGATGTGACTGTGGATTAAAACAAAACAATCAACCAACCCCAGCCCCACAGACAAGCATTTCATACACAGTTCTGCATTTGAAAACAAATGCAAAATTTCTATATATCAAAGTACTTAAAAAAAAAACCTGATTTTTAAAGTCACCTGCAAAAAAATACTCCATAATCATCTGCATCCTTATTTTTCTTTAGAGCAGCTTTGACCACAAGATCTCAAAGGACTTTACAAAAACAAACCAAAATTCCCCAACACATCCCCAGCATTACAATTGCAAGTGTTTCTAAAAACTTCAATTAAATCCCTAATTTAATACTGTGTTTTAAGCAAACCACAAAACAAATCGAAGACAAAAAGCCCCTAATCTATACAGACCTGGTGGAATTTCTGCTTTGGCACTAGTAGGACACCATGCCTGTACTCTTCTGGAAGCATTTCTCTCTGCATCATGGTTGTCTTTAATATACTATAAGCACATATAGTAATAATAATTTTTAGAAAAGGCAATTAAAACGTGTTTCAGTCAAAATGTCATTACTCAGAACTACAACTACCCTTCATTGTTCTGATTCCTGCTTGGCTCTTCTGACAAGTCAGCACTTGCCATGATGACCTGTTTCTTGCTAGGTTAAGTAACTCTAATTGCTCTTGCCAATTTCATCTCCTGCCTTAAAAGTAAAGACTAACATCTCCAGGCAGATGAGTCTGGACCATTTTTGCAACTTGAAGGAGCAGTCTAGTATGGTAATGGCAGTGTTATATAGTTTCTACAGAGTTCTACTGAATATTTGAAATTTAGCTCTGACATCGCTTGTTTTTACTTTAGGTATAGAAATTTCTAGGGTTAACCCTCTAGGGGATAAGCAGTCTGTTAAACAATATGAATACTTGTTTAACCCTATTTTAGGCTCAGACTTTTGCTGTGATAGAGACTTCAAGTAACTGACATCTAATGTAAAATAACATACTATATGTAACAGATTCATAGAAATGTTTGGGTTGGAAGGGACCATCAAATGTCATCTAGTCCAGCTCCCAACATAACATACTATAAAACATAACAAACTAGAAATATCCCCAAACGTCTACAGACAAACCTGTATCAGTTTCCTACAAGTTTAATCCCTGTAAAAAAATGCTACATTGTCACATCTGTGAGTGATTACTTTTTTCCTGCATTTGTGAAGAAGTGTTGAGCATATACTGATCTTGATAAAATAGCATGGAAGACCTGTTTGAGCTTACCTACCAGTTCTTTGACACATGAACATGCCTACATTTAAGGTGTCACTCCCATTTCAAAGATGAGACCTAAAAATTCCAGGTCAAAAGTTAACTACATTCTCTGCAATAGGAAGTTCTTATCTAGTAGTTTCTATACTGAAGTGGTATGCGCTGGCACCGGATATTTGTATATATTACAGATAGCAAAGCTACTCAGAACAGATGCGCACACAGTCAAAATTAACAAGGAAAACATCAGCAAAATCCCAAACTCAGTAATGGAACTCCATGGCAATCAGCACAGCAGGCAGGAAACAAATCCTGAATCCTATTTCTAGTTTTCATGCTGTCTCTCTGTGTGGCCAAAGGCATGCTACTCAGCTGCAGCTGTCTTATCTGGAAATGAGCAGCATACCAAAAAATTCAGTACTTTCTAGAAGGACTTGAAAAATAGATGTAATTCGGTAAAGCACATTTCTGCTTTGTTTTCATTAAACACTAAATATTTGAAGTCAGAAGAGGGATTATTTAGACAATTTTAGACACTGCAATGTTGTTCCATTATAATTAATTATTTAGTGGGAATTAATAAGATGTATTTTTTTGTTTATGTAGCATTTTGAATTTGAATTACAGTGTCAATTCGGGGTACCCTCACAGTGCTGTTTTAATTCCTGCAAATTTTCAGCCTGAGCACTTCTCTCACAAAGCGCAGCATCTGACAGGCAGGTAAGATCTCTAATTAAAACATACAGCATATTAAAAATAGGACCATTTCAAACCATTCTAGCCAGACTGAGGGCTGTGGGTTTAGGAGATGGCAACTTCTGTGGCCTTCTTTTCTCTTTCTTTGTAAGCACATTTGGGTCTCCTTCTGGTATGAATGTATTAACAGACTGATTTACTGAACGTTGCTTTAAGGATTCCACTAGGAATGCACACTGAAATGGAAGTTCACAGCATTTAGTAATTCATATACATGAAATATAAGTCAATAACATTTCAAAGCCAGCCATTCTGTATTTATTACTTTAATAAAAATAAAAAGACCAGAACAAACTGGAAGATGATAAACCAAGAATATGCAATTATTAAATGGCAACAAAATATTTTAAGATCCCATTAAATATCAACCAATTCTTCTTTTTAAACAAAAGATTTCTGTGACTCAGACTTGCATGCAACAAGCCGTATAGACCTCTGGACATAGATCTCGCTGCATATATCTTTCTAACCACACTTTCGTAACGCACAACCACCAAATGGCCAGGCTGGGTACACTGCCTCAGTCACTTTCTCAGATAGCTTTATATAGTATATAAATATAATATATATAGGCATATAATATAGATACGGTCTAGTTCTACACCCCTAGTACATTTAAGAAAGCAATTATTTCGGAATTGAACAAAGGTATTGTGCCACTGATGAACCCTCCCTGAAGTGTGACTTACAGGAACATAATATTTTATGTTTGTTATAGAATATATATAACTTTTTAACATATTTCTTTATATATACATCTGTATACATTTTATATATATACAGTTATAAAGAACAATTCTATTTGAGAAGAATTCATCATAGGATTTGCAACAAAAAGGAGAATCACTTCAACTGTAAGCTCCTTGTATTTGATACGGAATCATGGCCACTCCAACACCCATCACTTCAGTGCCATTGTACAACTGCTTTCTAGGCCATATTTACTCTGTGGTGACTATTCTCACACTCTCAAGCATTCCTGCCCATCTTACAAGGATTTTCATTTTGTCCAATCTTCTGCACTGTCAGCTGAACAAACACTGGTGATTTTTTTCTGAAGAAACAGAGAATTTAAGGAGATATATATAATTCATACCTTTTGGGAGTACTTGCTTGCTTTTTCCATTTCAGACACAATAATAGTGATATCATCACTTTCAAAGATGCCTAATAATCAAATATAAGCTAATCAACTTTTAAGTGTACAAAATATATAATTTTTAAAAATATACATCAATTTGTAAAGCATGCCAAATTATCAATGAAAAGAATCAAAAAGCCTTTGTTTCCTATAAGCCTTTGTTTTCCTGTTAGGTCCAGGCAGTCTGGAACTAACACATTAGCAACTATATTTTAAATGCACATCTTTAAAATATCTAGTGGAATTAAAACATTTTAAAAAAAAATTCAAATTCCTGCATTAAGGCTTTTTTATAATATTCTGCAATACAACTGAAAGCTTCCATCAAACTAGGACCTCTGTTTATATCCCAGTGCTAGTACAATACTACCACATCCTAAAAAAAAGTAAACTACTTGATGGGGGAGGCATTAATAAATATTACTTAACTGATGAAAAAGAAGTATGTGCTGACTTTCCTTTTCACATACCTGCTTCTCCAAACCAATGAAATCTCCCATTGGCTCTCTGTACTATTTCTTTAAAAGCAATTGCAGTTTCAGTTGGGTTAGCATAGCGGGCTGGAATGATCCCATTAGAGTCAACCTCCTCCATTACACTGAACAGACAGACATGAAGCTGTAAATCAAAACCTCTGCAAACCTCAGCCACATAAGCACTGACTGTGTGCTGGAACACAGAGGGGAGGGGAAAAACATTAACACGTTAGTAGTGCTCAGATGTGCTCCCATCTACTTCACTCACTCCTGAACTGACACACAAATACTTGCAACCTGAGCAATTCACTTCAGGAACATACTCTGAGTAGCTGAATGCCTCCTCAATTCATGCATAGACACAAAACCTGTCACTATTACTAATGACAGCACTACTGCAGCCAAGACAGGGTATCTATGGAAATCAAAGACACAGGCCATGGACTTCAAGTAGTAGGGATGCAACTATCCATTTGGCTTTCTGTATGTACCCTTTGTTTTTTTATTATCCACATAGGCTTTTAATGATTTCTTAGGTTTGCCCAGAATTTCCCGAAGTTTGTTAACAAAAGCAAGAGACACACTACTGTGCACACATAGCTACTGCAGATGGATTACCATAGGTTCAGAAACTCTAGGCCACAGAGCACATGCACTATGAACATATATCCAAGCAATGGATTACTGTTATTAAAAATAGGAGCTTTACATAGCGTACTATAAACACCACAGCAGAATTCTTCATGGCTTTGTTTCCATGAGCTATAAGGAAGTAATATCATACGAAAAAAAAAAAAAGAAATCAGAGTTGTTTTTTTTTAAACTCATAAATTTGCAGTGAAATGATGGCCAGAACTGGAGTGGGAAGGGAACCCTAAAAACACCTCTTGAATTTTCTATGACTCACATATTATTAATAATTGCTATAATTCACAGATTATTAATAATTGCTACCTCCAACACTCAAGAAGCAACTGCAGAAATGGAAGTTTAAGATCCTGACAGCTGTGCTGGCTCAGACATTTAAAAAAATATTTGCCAACAAGCTATGATGACTAGAAAAGAAAAAGAAACAAAAAATGGGAACTTACAGAAATGCTGCAAACCCTGTGATAATACTTACTGTTTCCTGATCAGGTATTCCAGTAGTCAGCAGGTAAAGTCCTTGTGATTTGTGTTTATCCTTGTCTTTGAAATCTATTTCCACAGCTCTCCTCAGTGCACTCATGAGATTTCTACTCCCTTTGCACTGCAGGCTTAACACCCACCTAAAAAAAAAAAAAAAGTTTGAAGAATGAAGCAACAAAACCTTTTGTTCCTGCTTAAAGCAATAAAGAGAACTAAAAATCTTAAATACCATTGCTCTGGAGTATAAAATTTTTAACAGAGAGCAAAACTAGATTATAGAATGACCCGAATTATTTGTTCTAGTTTCTGTACTGCCACCATGGACAACTAGGTTCTAAGGTAAGACGGGGACCATAGAGAGGGAAAAATTCTCTCTTATTTTGACGTGGAAATATTGTAATATAGCAGAATTTACAGGAAAGAAAATGAAATGACAGAGGTGTAATGAAACACTGAGGGTGTGACTCCACAAAAAGCAACCTGGGATTTGTTTCCAGTGTATGTTAGAAAAAAATACAGTTTAGCTTTCACATCCCAGTTTGATTTGAATCAGTTTTCAATTCATCATGTCACCTGTGCATCTCACAGAGACACTTCTGTATCTGTGTACATATATATTCTGTATACATAAAGAATACAAACTCACCGAGATATTAAACTTTACAATGTGGTTTTCACAAGAAACCATCATGAATAATCACTGTAGAACAATTCACAGCAACGTATCTTTGTAGTATTTTAAACCTATCAGTTTTCTAAACTGTTCACAAATCCCTTTCTTGGTTCTACCTGCGTCACAGTACCTATGATCACTTAATTCAGATGTATGGGAAAGTTATTTGATCCTACCTCCAAGCCTTTTGTAAGTTTTCTGGTTGGGAAGGAACCAGTTCCAGCTGCCAAGGCACAATATCACTCCCAAATCTTTCATGGAAAAACAACAGCAATTAATTTTCAGATTTTGCTTTAGAACAAGCAAAAAGAAGAAACTGACTTTAAAAGAGAACTCTCATTTGGGGTATTACAAATGTAAAGCTGCCTGATGTTAACTACTTTCTATTTCAAACCATTTAGTTATGCACATTTATCCACCACTCAGGGGCTGTCAGATTTTCAAGGCAGTGGGCCAGACTACATTTTTACTTGAAGAATAGTATCTGAAGTGAGCTAGTAAATGCTCAGCAGAAGGACTGCAACAAAAAAAACAAAACCCAACCTTCAGATGCTGCCTGTATCCCTCATGAGGTAAGGGCTTTGTTCTCCCACCAGGTTTGGAACTCCCATGAGCTGCTGTCTCTTCCTTTTACCTGTCAGTCATAAACCTGTCCAGCTGCTGTTCAGCAACTGTGCCATATGTTTCTGACTCCCAATGTCCCGTACAGAATTTTAGTACTATTATATAATAGAAAGTATTGGAGTTACTGTAAAATGTAAACAGTGTTCTCAGTTACAGCACCTGAGATAACAAAATCCTCTTCCAATGAAAACTTAACATGTTAATTAATGCCATTGTTATGAACAAAATAGCAGGATAAAAAACTGTAACACATATGACACGATCAGTTCCAGTGAGCATCACCCAAACCAGTGATTTTTAATTACTAATCTGGTTTCTGTACATTTGATCCATACACTTTACCAGTAACGACAAACCAGTGCTACTCTTACTGACTCTTCATCATAAAATGTTCAATACAATTAAAAAATCTAAAATATGTCCATTAGCAAGTACAATCTTTCAGCATACTTCTTTCATTGCCACGTGTTACAATTATTCCAAAAGAACCTTAAACAGTTGCTTACGCTATAATATTGAAGCAATCCTTATTTGACATTTGTTCTTCAAGTAAAAGTCGCAAAGAATGTTGGATATGGATGACATACAGAGAGCTTGTCACTGATACATCAACAAGTATAACCACCCTAGATAAGAAATATGTTATTCATCAAAGAAAAAGAACAAATCTTAATTACACATTCTTACCATCCCTGTACTCTAACTTGCCAGAGAAAGTATTTTTTAGCTATGTATCAAAACGCATAAACACTGAATCTGTATTAAAAAAAAAAAATCTGCAAAACATGAGGTGAGAATTAAAAAACATTAGTAACAATAATGGAAAATTCTGAGGGTGGTGAGGCCCTGGCACAGGCTGCCCAGAAAAGTTGTGGCTGCCCCATTCCTGGCAGTGTTCAAGGATAGGTTGGACAGGGTTTTGAGCAACCTGGTCTAGTGAAAGGTGTTCCAGCCTGTGACAGGGGTTGGAACCATATGAGCTTTAAGGTCCCTTCCAACCCAAACCATTGTATGGGTTTATGTTTCCTAAGCTATGCAACAATCAGGGTACCAGCACATGTAGTGCCATAATGGCTACTGAACCCTAAACATGTCCACTTTCTTCTCTATACTTGGAATATTCAAAACACTCCTGAAAAGCATGGATGACTCTCATGAGTTCTTATTAGAAAATGAGCTTCAACGTACCAACTACTTGCTTTGTCAGTACAGAAAAACTCTTTGCATAAATACTAACACCATGGGTTTCAAAAGCTGACTGTAAACACTACCTTTTGCCAACAGGTTCTGCTCATGTGAGATTTATGATAGAACATTCCTCAAGGGCTTACTTGCTAGATAACTCAAACTTGAGAATCTCAACCTGTCAAATGGAAATTGCCATTTTGTGTTGACCAATAATCACTGGATTCTTTACATTCACAGATCATCACAAAAGCTGAATATCAATATTTGTTTTCAGAAGTGGACTGCTTACACTGATTATATCTGCAACCACTGTCTTTACATCTTAACTGGTTTCTGCCCTGTGTTCCTTGGTGCTGACTTACGCGTAAAGGAAAGGCTGGACACTAGAACCATATACAAAGAAAGGACTATCAAAGTACAATACCTCCTTTCACAAACACTTCCCCATATTCTTCTGCTAGCAACAGATAGCCAGTCAATTCTTTTCTCATAGATTCTTACCATTTTAACAAGGAGTTTCTATGGATTAAATACAGAAAATTTAAGATAAAAACAAAAAGTTCAATAAGTCTTTTATTACCGAATGCAATGTGGCATTGACTTATAACATGTAGCATGTCATGTAACATGACAGCATAGTAATGAAAAAATAAATGATTTTCATTCATTTTGACAGCAACATTTAATTTTTTGTAAAGATAATATAGTCCATAAGAACATACAATGACAGAAAAGCAACAAAGGGTCTAAAGGTCTTTTTTGCAAGCTTATCATTTTTTTCAATAGCATTTTTAGGCAGTGTTCATAACAAAACACATAATTTAAAATAAACACAGTATTTTCATACACATATTATTCTTTAACACAGTATCAATTTGAAGACATTAAGGCAATTTGTCCAAATCCTACAGAACATGACCTTTGCAAGCTTATGTATGAGGGCAAATCAAGCTAGAAAAGGACACTGAATTCAGTAATAAAGCTACAAGACAGCATACTTTTGGAGCACAGAACACAAGCATCTGATCAAGGAGCCAGAAGCTGCTTCCACGTCAGCTTGTTAAACTTTACACTCTCCTTTTTGACCCAACTATAGAACTCTACAGATTTCTCACCCCTCTTCCAATTTAAAGAATTTCCTGCCTGGAAACATTCCCACAGCCCTTTGTCAGGGCTGCTACTGGAGTGGTACAGAAGAGAGAAAAGAAAAAGAATGAACAGACCACTGTATAACGCACCCTGACTGCAAATATCCGCACGCACCTTCTATTTCATTAAACTTGGGCCACACTCTGATCATCTGCATTCTGACCAATGTGGAAATCTTCAAGAACAGCTACTGTCTATAAAAATTCCAGTGGCCTTCATTATGTTATCTGCATATATATTATATATATGTATGTATGTATCTCTACTTCTTCTATACTGAAAAGAGCAAATTAAATCCTCAAAGGCCCTCAATACCCCGTACAGTTTAAATGTTCTCCTGGTACACCAGTATTTTTAAGATTTCCTATATAGTAACACACCTAGCAAATATCAAAAAATCCTAACATCTCCCACCTAACAGTGTTCTTAATTCATCTGCAAACTTGACAAAACTCTAGCAGCAGCCTTGCTACCCTCTTGAAGAAACTCTGGCAATTACTGGGCTGAAGGCAAATGCAAAGCAGCATAATACGCTGGTACAGACAGTTCAAAAACTATGTTGGCACAATTCTGGGAATCCACATTAAGTATGAAGACTGAGAATATGTTAAAACATGAAATACAAATACCCAGATTCTACTGACACTTCAGAGTAAAGCAAAGATATGACAACCTGCCATCAAGCAAGCAGAAATAGTTTCTGCTTTGACTCTTAAAAACCAGTTGGCTATGCAGAAAACATGCTGAAATCTCACGTCTTTGACATTCACATTAGCAAACATGTCTAAATGCACAGCAAGAGTGTTGTAGGAGCACCGTTAAGGCTAAAATGCTACTCTTGGTAAAAAAAAAGTAACTTCAGACGCATTGCTTCCAATGTGACCATCTGAACAATATTGCCATTTGGCAATCATGTAGAACTTGCTACATTTGGACCTCACCATTTCACAACGCGCACAACTAGCTAGATGATTATCTAGCCCCGACAAGGCCACATCACTACAGACAACTCACCTGATAGTTGTACAACACTGGCAGGTCAACATGGATATTTTTCACAGTTCCATCATACCATTCAAACTGAATCATTGCTTTCTAGAATGATAAATAACACAACTGTGTGTTTACAGAAGCCTATATAAGCTACACTAACATGGAATTCCTTCCTGAATTATTCTAAGGAATGCATAAGTACTTGATCTGAATCAGTGACTCAAACTTCAATTAAAGCCTGTAGAATTTCATGACTTATAAAGTACTGATTTCAAATAGAAAAATGCAGCAATAGGAAGAAAAAGGAAAGAAAAAAGAAAACAATGAGAAAAAGAAAAGAGTCCTCATTACATACCTCATGTAGAGTTGATGATACTGTTTTTCTAAGAATGGGTACAAATTCTTCCACAGGAGAGAAAGCATTAGGAGCCAGAACTTGGTAAAGGTTTAACTTTTTAGCTATAGCAAGAAACAAAGAAATGAAATAAAACACATGCTCTGCCTTGTGTTCATGTTTCATACCTGTTAAGCTTTTCTTTCTGCACTACCTTTCAATCCATATGTCTTTAACCATTCTTTTGAGGTTTTGGCCAGCATGCATGGTGTTTGAATAACTAATGGTCCTTCGTGCTTTAGAGGCTTTGGGAAGAAGTTACAAGGTGTTGTACTTGCAAATTCTGTGGAAACCTAAAATGGATTTTAAGAAAAACTCTTTCAACTTTCTGCATTTTTTTTTTTTACCCTCAATCCAAAATATTCTATTTTACTTATGTTCTACTTGTTTTCAAAGTACTGGGATTTCAATAAGAAAAACACTTTGAAAATAGCTATAACTGGTCCTTGTAAAGATAGGTTTGGGGGACAATGTTCCACTAACTTCACTATGCTTGCCACAATGCAAAATCCCACAGGAAAATGGAAAGATCATGGTTGTACATACAGGAAATCATCTTTTCCAAGAAAAGTAACTATGAAAAGGAGCAGTGCTGCCAAATTTTTAGCTTTCAAGTTTAGTGACCGTAGGCAAATTTAGCCACTTCCTAAACTTCCAGGCCCCTAAAAAGTACAGAGATGAGAATAAAGCAAAAGAGAGATGCGTATTTCCACTTAAGACAAGGTGAAAGACAGACATGAGTAAACAAACTCTACCAGATCAAAGCAAAACTAGAATTTCCAAATATCCCATAGAAAAAAAGAAAAATCACAGGAGTTTCTTTTTCTTCCTCACACATATTCCATCAAGAGTATTTAGAAGTTGCTTTACTGGAGAAAAAACAAGCAAACAAAGAACCAACCCCTGGTATGTTGATCAAATAAAGCATAAAAATAGAAACATTACCAACACAACTGTTACAAAATAAATGGCACCAAAGCCTCATGATAAACTAGGACCAACAGAGACAGATGTGTAACAGGCAGACTGTAGCTTCCTAACTTCAATACTAGTAACAGATCTAGGCGAGCCCTTATGATTTTGCTCAAGTAATTGTCCATCTTGATCATGGAGAAGTATCTTTTTACCAATTTAAAGGACTATTGAAACTTCATTTAAATGATTATGCATACAGTTAGGCCAGTGGTTCTCTTAGACTTCCATTATGATCATGGTACAATGTTCTTTTCATCATACTTCTGTTTGATATATAAAATTTGCTGCATTTCAGAGAACATACAGCAAAATGTCTTCTTTACTGGTTTGGGCCTTAATCTGCTCTTACAATGGACGGCCAATACATAATATTCAAAGTTCACTTACCAAAATACCTGATTAATCATATAATTTTTCTTCATATAGTAAACACTAAAAACTTCTACCCCCAATACTTCAAAGTATCTGGTGTACATCTGAAAATAAAAAGATACATACATCTGCTATTCTACCAACAAGCGAGTCACCAGTTCTTCTTTGGAAAGTCTGCTTGATGCTCCCAAGTAGACCCTTGGCCTTCCGGGATTCCTGAAGTAGCAGCTGAAAATCACTGCTATCAAAACTCTGTACATATAAAAACAAAGGGAAAAATAAGTTAACTACTATTCAAACACCAACCAAACACAGCTTTCTTACTTTGATGTGCTTATATCTATACAAGACTGCCTGGTATTGCAGAACTGAGTGTAAATGTATCTAATGCACCACAGATAATTTAGCCATCATGTTATAAACAAGACATTGTTTTATTACTTTGAGTCAGTCTACAATAAGCCACTGCTTTCATCCTATTCATCAGCTTTAAGTCAGGGAACAACATTTGCAAAATTTATTGTGCTTCTAGGAAAGCATTTTCAGTTGCAGAAGGAATTAACCACAATTTATTGACCACATCCTTAGCACTACCATGATGGAGACTTTTGGCACCAGTTCTTGCTGTGAACTTCTACTCAGATTATATCTAAATTACGTTTTAAAGTGAAGAATCATCAAAAAGAGAAAAATATTTTGCCCCTCTAGCTGTCACCTACCTCTCCCTTTGAAGAGTAACAATGATAACGGCCTCTTACAGCTTCTGCAAGGTTCTTTAGAACTGCCTACATACATAAATAGGAAGAAAACCAGTTAATTTGATTCAGTAGTACCTTTTGATAATGTGGGTTGTCGGTATTTAATTCTCAATTAGTGACAAAGAAAGAAGCTTTGAGGTACATGTAATGAAAAAGCCAAAGTATGTTTCCACTGTTTTCTTACCAGTCTTTAACATGACTGAAAAATCAACTCCGTAAAGAATTTACAAAATAGACAATAAGGATCAAGCTTATTCACCTTGTGTCACTTTCTCTTCCTTTTAGGGCAGGCTCTTGCTAGTCAGATCAAAAGCATATCACTGAAGTCTACAAGTACAAATGCTAGGCTATCCTTCCCCTGCCCATAATTACCTCTTAAATACTTTGCTGCTTTTTTCATCTCTCCCAGATCCTTCTCTCATACTACCTACCACTAGAGTCCCCTTACTGCATCCAATCTTCTCACTGAAGAACCTTCTGTTCATTGCAGGAGGGTTGGACTAGATGACCTTTGAAGGTCCCTTCCAACCCAAACTATTTTATGATTCTCTATAAAACCGGGATTTCAGTCGTGTCCTCCCTTCTACTGAAGTTACTACATGCCTTAAGGATAAGCTTTAGCAAGCAATCAACACCTAAATCCAAGTTCCTGTGAAGAAGCTAATTAAAAATATCTGCTTATCCTTCTGTCCTCCTCTTCCTTGAGGCAGTCACTGCCAACATCCAAACCACTGCTCATGATCAAGACAATAATTTGAGCAAGTCTACTAGGTCTGATGCTATTCCATACCAAAATATTCCTATCCAGAGACTCCCATGCTCATATGATCTCACTCCCAAGTCCTTGTCTTTTTCCTATGATCCCTCTCTATTCCCACCTGTCCTTACTGCAATGTTGCCTACCTGAAGTCCCCTCTTTCTGCTTTCACCTGCAAAAGAGCTCTCAGCCCCAGAGTCTTCTCTGGAAACACACAGGATGATTATCTGGAGATAACCACTTCCCTTTAGCTGCTAAGCCTGTCAACACCACTTGGTTGCCTGTTCTGGCTTTGATATGAATCACGATAAATACTCCAAAACAGACTTTTTCATGTGTGCAAATACAATGTTAGATCAAGAACTCTTTAATGAGTAGGTTAGCTTTCCCACAAAAGTGTATGTGAGAAGACACAGCAGCTGAATAGGAAACAAATGACAGGACACTTAAAGAAGTATTAATACAATTACTTACAAGAGAAGAAGGACTGCTGCAATCATATGTAACAGCATGAAGGTGTAGTTTTCTTCCTAGCATACACTGCTGAGCATAGTCAGACAGAATTTCCAAAGACTGATCAGGGCTGATATAAATAAATAAGTACGAAAAAAAAAATTAATAACAATGGCAGTAATCAAATGGGGGGGGGAAAGACCACACTGAAGAAGACAGGGAAGAAAATGAATGGGAAATATCTAACAAATCATGGGAATGTAATCCAGTCATTTAGCACAGCCTGACCTCCTCTCCCTCTTTCAACCATTACTGAGGTACCACTACTACAGTTTTGGTTCTGTCCTGAAAACCTGAAGGATAACAAAAGCACTAAGGCTCTATTCTAGTTCACAATGGCTTGTGGATGAAATGTTCCAAGTTATTCCTTGCTAGCTCTGGAAGCTAAAAATTGGGAATTGAGGTTTTGCCCACTGTGACAAACTGTGATAGAAAAGCTTTCAACTCAGATCTTCAACCTGTAAGGATGTCCATTGTCTTCATTAAGGAAAGTAAAACTTTGCTTTGTGTTCAGAATTTAGCCACTCATGGTTCTTCATGGCTAGGAAAATCATTTCCTCCCAGCTACACTTTTGCCAGGGATAGAAATTAATCAAGTTTTCATGTGCACACACTCTAAACTTTGCCGTCTGTTCAAAGCAGGTCTAAGCAAAACTTGGAACCTTTCAACTGAACACTGAGCATTCAGTAAATGTAATCTCAATCTCCCTGAATATCAACCTTGCCAAAGGTTACATCATCCCATTTCTGCACATTTAAAATAAATACAAATAATAAATTGGGAGTACAGTAACACTCCCAAAATCCTTACTGCAGTCTTTTGCTTGTAATCCTAACTTCAGTACTAAAAATTTTTACATGACAGTAGAACTTTAGAATTTAAATCCATAATTTTTCTAATCTCAGCCTCTTTTCATACATTCAAATCAGATATTGTAAGTTTTCCATCAGCACCACCAAGATCACAGAGAGAATGTGTTCTCACAAACACATTCAAAACTACCTTTGAATGTTTAATGCCATTTTATAGCAAAATCAAGCTCATCATCTGATCTAACCCAGCAGTGTGGGCCCTTTCAGTGACATCTTTAATGATGCTGAAGGACTTTTATTAGCATAAAATTAGAGCTAGCAGACTTCTAGCGGATTAGTGTGATAACTGATCTGCAAAGGAAAAATGTAGCTTTGTATCATAAAAGAGATTTATAATTAGTAAAAATTGGAAGAAATAAAGAAGTTCAGGGATATGAACTAAACTTTATACATAAAACCTGGATCTTAAATTTTCTATTTATTTTTGTATCAGGTTCAGATTCTTGAACCAATTCTGTATCCAAGTTAAAATGGTTGTTAGGACAGATAAATTTACCAGCTTCCTACAATAAGAACAAGAGAATTGAGTTCTTTCATCGTAAAGACATGTTTTAAGGCTTTCAGTAAATTGCAGCCTCGACCAGGCTCCAGCTGTTTTATCCACTGTCTTGCTTCATGTAGCCTGGGGGAGGAAAACAGAAAAAAAAACATAGACACTTAACATGCAGGTGCTAAATAAGATAGATTATGAAGATTACTACAAACCACAGGAGCTGCCAAGATATTTTATGCAGGAACAACCAGCTTGAAATCACTGACTGCACTTAAAATTCATTGCTTTTTTTTCTTTCTTAAAAATCACTGCAGGAACAAGACAAAACCCACTATTATCTACAATGGATTGCTCTAATTAAATGGAGACCCTGTTTGGAAAACCTTTATTTTATAGAGAAACGTACTTACACATGAACATTGATGATTTTTGGACTCTCCCACAGAGCTGACATTTCTGCACTGAATGAGAGGCAGTACAGTTGCTTCTTGTAACATAGCTGCTCATCTATTAAGCACTAATAAATTAAGAAATGTTATTGCATTACTATCCATTTTGCTTCTAGTAGGGTTATTACATAAAACACTGAAAACAGTAATTTCCTAAGAATAGCTGACAGCAATATTTTCACATACCACAGAGAAAAGCTTGCGGGAACAAGTAACACAGATTCAAATATTTGGTAAGAAATAGACAGATAAAGCTCTCAAGCCTCTTTTAATCCCACCAGTTTGTTAATGGGGCAAGAGGCAGGGAATATTTATTGAACTGGTATCAGGATTTCTCTTCAGCTGATGAGCACATGAAACAACATACTGATCTAGAATGGGCCTACTCACCCACAGAGCAATTACTAAAAATGTTTAGCACCTATTCAAGGGTAGAGCTAAACAACAGTTCAGATATTAAGGCTGAGCAAACCAAACTATGAGAATTTTATAAAAATAAAATGCACAGTAAAGTACAAGTTTCTCCTGGGACTTGAGAAAGTGATTAATTCACCAAGGTTCTGACAGTAATTGCGGAGTGTGCCTTGTTGGGACAAGCATAAGGCATAAGGAACCCATATTTACTATAAACAGCCCGATGTACAACTTGGTTCCAGCTCTTACAGCTGTTCCTGCTAAGCAAGTTTACTTCCAAATATTAATAAGGAAAGTATTATTATTACAGTCTATACTGGAGTTGGAATCTAGATGTGAACAAAGACTACACTTTCAAAGTCATTTAAAACATACTGTCCTACAACAGACAAGTTTTATGTACTGTATATTATGAATTTAAGCAGGGTTTTTTTCTACTTAGTTCCTGGCTTGTAGTTACATAAAAGCTTGATTAGTATAATTGCCAAAGTCTGCTTTATTACAACTTACAAAAAGATCTTTCTGAAAATCCAGCAGTCTAGGTCTACAGCTTATATGAGACACATCAACCAAAAGTCCAACTTTGGTTCCTTTTATAAGGCCAAACACCTTAAAAGAGAAAAGTCATTATAAATACAAAGCTTATCTACGGCTAAATAATTTTACTATTCATTAATTTTACTGTTTATTTTGTACAATACCATTTTAAAATCAAATATTAGGTATTTATTTGCACATTAAAAGTTTTAGCATAAAGATGACACAGTTGACAAAGCCAAGGAAGAAGAATTAAAACTGGCTCCCAGTTTAACCTTACCAGTGAATTTTATTTCCTCCTTCCCAAGCAACCTATTCATTATTTGAAAGGATAAAAAATAACTGTCTACAGCATCTCGTTCAGGTTAAATCAAGCAACTTTGTGGAAGCCAAATTTTGGAATGCTGCTTCTATCCCTCTCCCCTTTGAGAAGGAGTCATATCCTTTTCTGATTCCTGAGCATTAGCCCTGCTAGGCACAGTAAGTGATTAATTAACCAGCTGTGCAAGAGAGGGCACAGTGGACTACAAGACAGCTCCACTTCCCTCAGAGGTTAAGCTCAGCATTGTCTGATCCAGCTTAAATGCCAGCAAGAGGTTCTAATGATTAAGACTGCTAAGAGAAAGACTAGATCTAGAAAGCAGAAAATCGCATACCAGTAAAAGATCAAGAAAAACAATCCATGGACAAGATAAGTATCACTGCATACTATGTGTAACAGTAGATAACAAAAATATACAAGTTACAGAAGACACGTTTCACTAATATTAAAAAATTATTTTTTTCTTTAATGCCATATACAGTTCCATTCTAAAAACATACTTCAAAGTTAAAGTTACCTTTCTGCTGTCCTGCAACAGCCACTGAATTCGCTGCTGATAAAGTTCAATCACTCTGACAAAAGGCATAGCACACATTTAGCTAAGGCAATCTCTTGCATTGTACATTGATGTTACAATCAACCATTTGTCTTCACATCTTTCTTCACACAGATGCAAAATCTGTGAGAAGCAGTATTTAAAACTACTCTTTCCAGTGTTCTCATACAACTGGTGGTTGCAGGGTTAACCATTTAAATACTTCTAAAGCTGTTTGATTAGATATGTGGCTGTCTGAAAAAACAGAACACGAGACCATTTTCTAATCAGGTGCTGGCTTATTCTGCTCAGAGGTAGGAGAAGGGTATTCAGCATGTGTATGTGTGCACAACAGAAGCTCGGCAAAACTGAGTTTAGTTCAGCATACACAGGTTATTGTCAGGAGATGTATTTAATACAAACTACACTATTGCTTAAGAAACTCATGAGATAGAACCTTGTGGTTGAAAGGCAGCACATTCACTGAAGTGCCAGACTAACTGCAGCATAACTTTCAACAATTTCCATTTCAAAATAGGTAAAACCTGAGGTAAAATGAAATGCTCGCTGCCGTCTGAAACTGTTTTACTTCAATCAACTTATATGCATTTTTATAATTTAAACAAGAAGTTTAAATCAACATTTTAAAGGGAAAAAACATTTTGATTTTTCAAAACACAAAAGCTACTTCTTTTTTAAACCAGATCTGCAGACAGTTTGCTTAAATGGTTCAGGGCCCAAGTACTGAGGTTTGACCTTTGGAAGATTCTGTACCTTCATGACTTGGCACAGTAACATATGCTGAAGTAGTGCCACTCCTACGAACAGTCTTACAAGTAATGTGAAGACCAGCAAAACCATTATGATTATTCTACAGCTTATTCAATCTATTAATTACACATTTTTTCTCAATTTAAGGAATTAAATCAATTCCTTGATTTTATATATCTGAAATTCACTTAGAAAACTTTTAACTTCCAATTGTCCTCACTAGATCCATGACTTGACACTAACCCAAGTTACAGTAAACATAATCCACAAATATGCAGTCTTACCTGTGAAAACCCAACCATTCACTAGCTGACTTTCTAAAATGAGTTAACTGCTTCAGTTCAAAACCTGCCTGATTGGCACCCTCATTAAAAAAGTAAAACCTCAGCTGTAGTGAGACAGAATTATCACCTACCCTAAATCTCAGCAGAAAGGATTTAATGCTGAGACACTCTAAAATTCCCACCAATAACAAATTAAGAGTTAAGGCACTACCTGTAGTTATGGGTGATGATAACTGATAACAGAATCAGTTATGCATCAAAATCATAAACAGGATGGATACTTACTCAGAAAGTCTGGACTCAAAATCCTTAACAATCTCTTCTGGAAACTCTACCTCTTCAACACCATTCCTTAAATTCCTGGAACATCATGCATTATTAACATCAGAGGTACACACAAAAATGACAGAGCAAAGAAAGGGCACTATTGTACTTACAAAATAATATTGCCTTCATCTACCAGATGCTCTAATGTTAATTGCAAGGATTCTAAACTGTAGTTTCTTAGCCATTCTTCAGAGGTTTGCACCTTTTCAAACTGTACTTTCTTCATCTCTACTCTCTACGATCAAGTAACAAAAAATTAAATGCAGTACAAGAAAATAAATGTGCTGTTCAAATGTGACAAAACGTACATCCTAAGGAGAGTTGCTGGTAGGCAGTGCATGTTGAAGAACAACACAATCTTAGGTACTGGCATACTCTTTTGGATGTGGGATGTAAAGGAAAAGCAGCTTTCAGTACATCCCCAGATTGTAAGCTGAAGGAGAACTTAATTTGGAGAAGACAGGAAGGAAGAAAAGAAACTGGAGAGTTTAGCAGAAGAATTAAAATAAATACCCCAGTGATTTACCAGTGGAAAAAAAAAAATCAAGTATCTCTAAAACTTGCTTCACAGAGTTCAAAGGGGTATATATTGTCTTCTGAAGAAAAAGGCAGTATGAACAACTGATCTACCTTTATTGTTTTGCCTGATTTTTCACAGACTGATTCAGCTCTGCATGTAGCTTCATAACTTCAGTGATTATGTCTGTCATTATATTATATGCAAATACATGTAAGGAAATGTATTAGTTGCCTATCAATGCATTTATTCCCCACTCTGTATGAACAGTGGGCATGTGTTAGTTTTCTAGTTGCTCCATTTAGCAACAAAACTCTCCTACCAGCAGATCATGAATCCTGCTGCTGTGTGTGACCAGCAATGCATTATCTGATCCTGGATGCGACATAGTAAAGTCATGACACGGTGGATGAACACCCTGCAGACTGGATTTCTTGGTCAACCTACAAAACAATGAATTTTACTCTATTGCTTCATCACTCCTAATATTCCTGTATTGCCATAAAGTCTTTACAAGTTTTTTTCAGCAGGAAATGTTTCATACTTTGACATTTGTGTACACATTCCATTTGATATATGATAAATGTTTTGCAAGGACATAGTACATAGTTTATACAAACTAGTTATTTACTCTGTATTTATGTATGAAGTCCCAACACGATTTTGTACCAGTATTCTCACCCAGCTTTTTCCAAACCCTGATCACTGTTCAACAACTGCGCCGTTTTCTTGATGCGTGTATCTATTATTCAAATAGACTTAGCCTTGTTAAAAAAAAAAAAGAAAAAAAATGAAAAGTATTAAAAAGTTTAACTTCTCAGGAGTATATACTATTTAAAAAAGGTATTAATATTGCCAGCAACTTACATGATAATTACATAGCACATGGGACAACAGCAAATTAAAACGCAGCTGCAAATAGAAATTACAATTACCTATCTACAGAGAACACATTTAGGAACTACCCTGAAGGAGCTATTTGCTAAGGGATTTTACGCTGTTAATAATGTGCATGTACAGCAAGCAGGATTCTAACTACACGGCTCAATCTGAAGGAAAAGATTAACGAACACAAACCCCAGAACTCTGCGCTGTGTGAGAGGCAGGCAGCCGGAGACAGCCGGACTGTGGCACACCCCGGGGTTGTGGGATGCGCGGACCGTGGGTGAGCTGCCCTTCCTGCTGTGGCGCACTAAGACCGAGCAAAAACTAGGATAAAATCCCGCTTTTCACTTCGCTGGGCTCCCCGCCTCACCCCGCCTGCGCCCTCCCGCTCACAGCGCGTCAGGGCAGCCAGCCTTCTGCCTTCTAGACTGTCCCCACCTCACGGGGGAACCGCCCCGCAGCTACACCAGCTCCCCATCCCAAGGGACTCTCCTCACCTCACGGAGGAAAAGGTTCCCTATTCCCCACACACCCTCCCTCCTCCCACCCGCCTCACTTGGTCAGGTCCCGAAAGTACGGGCGGCCACCGAGCCAGTGACAGAGATCCCGCAAGCCCCTTCAGCCTCGCCAGGCCAAGGCACCTCCCGGCACTCACCCGACCCTTTCCCCCAAGCGGGCCAGCTGCTGTCCGCGTTCGGCGTGTTACGGCGTTGCCGGTGGAGACGGTCGGGCCCCGGCGGGAGGAGCCGACGCCGCTTCCCACCGCCCCGGGGCGGTGATAGACGCGATGCCGGGGTTGAGGAAACACCTGAGGGGTGGGGAGAGGCCGGTTCCAATCAGCGCAGCCGAGGCCAGTCGCTTTATTAGACAATTTATTTTGATAAACTTGCTCAATAACAAAAATACAAGTGAAGAAAATTATGTTCATTTTATACAGTTTGTATTAACATTTGTTCGGAAATCATTAATTGAAAAATGCTCTAACCAATTAAAAAACAATCCTCAGTAAAGGCCGGGGCGGGGGACGCAGAAGGTCAGGCCTCGGGCGGGGAGCGACGTGACGCCCAGGCAGGACAACCCGCTTGCAGACACCATTTCCTTCATTATTTTCATCCTTCACAAAGGTTTTAAAGGACAGCTTTCATTTCTTGTGTGTTGGGGTAAACAGTCATCTACGGTTGTGTTCTGAAGTGGTTAAACAACAGCTCTGAAACACAGGGCTGACAGGAGAGCCCTAGCCTGGCGGCTTTACCTCAGTCAGAGGATGGGGCTCAGTGGTGTTGCACGCTACCAGCGTCTTTGGAAAACTGCTATCACTCACCAGCAAGATTCACAACATAAAATGGTGTCAAATGGTTAGAGTGGTGCTTTCAGGGAAGCACACCCTCCCCACGTCTGAGACAAACAGCTTCCAACGGATGATTTCAGCTGAGCTCAATGGTAAGATCTATACAGACAAATCAATTAGTTTTCCTTCTGAAGGTATTTTGAGTTTTCATGTTGTTAGCTAAACACATCACAATGTATGCATAAATTACATTATGTTGGGACATTAAACCTTTGGGGGAACTTTGAAGCAAAAGATTAAGTAAGACTCTCTTGTGATATATGAAATAAGCTGTCCTTTAAAAGTGAAAAATAATGGCAGAATCAGAAAAGTTTATGTAAACACTCAACACAAATATGGGATTACCTTTGGAGAAGATTCACATGGAAACATTTGCTTTTCATGAACTGAAAAAGTCTACAGAAGTTTAGGCATGTTCAATACAAACTTCCTGTAGTTTAAAACAAAACCTTGTGCAAATAAAACCTATAAATAGTCCTCAGCAGATTTTACAGTGATGCTCTTAGGTATGAAAAAATGCACACAGCTTTAAAACAAAAGTAACAGACATAAGTTTGACAAATGATTGCACCATAAAACAGTGTTTTATATACAGTTTACAAGGTATGACTTTTTTCTGCTATAAATTAATACTGTACTATATAGTACTTAGTGACCTCATTAAAAGCAACTGTTGACAGCTGTCTCTTCAAATAATAGTTGTGAAGGTGTTTGGGGTTTTTTTAATGCAGGTGGCTGCATCTGTTTCTGGATTTAAGATGCTCCTGGTGAAATATTTATTTCATCGATTTACTTGTTAAATCTCTGCTGTCATTTAATAATTCATAACAGTAGCATTGGCAGATCAGATATATTTCCAGTCACCCAGCCACAGTCTGGGTATGCTCCAAGGTAAGTGTTTACATTCTTTTTAATCACACAATGATCCACTTAATCTAAGCCTGAATCCACTGTATACATGACGATACTATAACTGAAATACAAAGCTGGGGAGGGTGGAGAATCTTAGCAGCTAAGAAACTCTCCTCTCCCCGTGTTCCAGTTACAAAAATCTCCTAAAACTATTCACAAGAGCGACATTTCTGACAGGGGTGTTTTGTTTGTTTTTTTTTTCCCCAAAATCATAATTTCTGATCTAAGTTTTAGTGAATACTTCAGCTTAGGATACAGCAGCTGTAACATCAGAAATTCAGACACACATGCTGCAGCTGAACCTTGTGTTCTGTCTCCATCAACATCACTGGGGATTTCAGGCAGCTCATGCAGAAGAAGGCTTAAATTAGGAATCAAATCATATTTAAACCATTACCTCCAAGTTGGTGCCTGGCTGTATTTACAGATTAATACACTTCAGAAAAATGTAGTGATCCATAATCACCCCCTTCCACCTGTGAGTGAGCTGGCTGGAAAGAAGTTGCTTATAGACCATTCCAGTGACAAGTTTGTTAAAAAATATCAAAAGAAAAAAAGACTTAATCCAGCAAATAACCTTTGGGAGGGAGAGAGGGGAAAGATGGAAGAGGAGGACAGGGACCCATTAGGGTGTGAATGGCACACAGTTTAAAAGAATTGTGCGAATTCTCTTATTTTCAAACACTTAAGCTTATGAGATAAGTGATTACTTTGGAATATTTTAACCACCATACACTTTCACTAATGTGTTAGGAAAATGTCTATTCAGTAACACAGTTCTAATAAGCTCAGTGAAACAGCACTTGAAATATAGAATTCTATTGTTTTCATAATGAATCTTAGATAAACCATGTATTAACTAGAAAATACTGACAATACTAATAGGGCAGCTTTCCTGGGACACTAAATTGTACTTCCTGCAAGGTTAGATGGAGTAGTGAATTATGACATCTATGGATTCCAAGGTTTATCTTTGTTCTGAAAAATAAAACTACCTTTAGTGATGAATATTTACTCCAAATTTGGGTGGCCCTTAAATCCACATTTAAAATAACTTCAGTAAACAAGGCATATATTATTTAAACAATTATATTGCTCATTTTAATACTTAAGTGACAGTAAGTTCATTCATCTTTCAGTGGAATAGTGTTTGCATTACTTTGAGCATTGCATTTTACATGTGCTAGAGAAATGCTTACCTGTGGTAAAATGCTGTGCTTGAACATGTATGAATGCTAATGTGACAATGCAGTAGAAAAAGAGACTCTGTACAACAGTTGCTAATAATTTAAATAGTGTCAGTTTCCCAAAATTAGGATTTTAACTTTAAGGTATGACATGATTTCACCTTCTACCCTCATATACAAATAAATTACCATAAAAAGAATTTTAGCTTAACTTAAAATTGCACCTAAAAAGGCATGGGATCGTTTGTACCTATTACAAAAACTGTTAAAATCAAGGGCTGCTACAAAGAATGAGGTAAACTGAAGACTCTCAGCTATGTGGCCTTCAGAGAAATGGCTTTTTTCTATTGAGTCCTAGTTTTGCACACCACAGTGTTTTGCTAGCAAAGCGTTCCGAGTTCTGTTCCAGGAACCATTTGTGTGTATATACATATATTACATATATGTGTATATACACACACACGTACACACACACACTGTATACTGCATCAGCAAAATATATATATATTTATATATATTTATATAAATATAAGGAAGAAATCCCCCTCTAAACCCTCTAAAATGTTCCTTAGTGTTTCTCTAGAGCTTATGGGGGTGCATGGGATGTATGTCTTCTTGCTCTTACATACATTTAGAGAACATGTTTTAATCTATTGGCTTCTTGGTGCAGTAATGCAAGATTGACCCACATTGGTGCCAAAGGCTTTGCTCATTAGAAGGAAGATGTAAAATAGTAATCTCCTAAACAGTGAGGCCAGCCTCACTTGAATTCCTCTGCAACCCTCTGGTCTACTACAAAGTTCATAATTGACTTCCAAATCGTGAGACGTTAAAAACAGGAACAGTACAGTAACACGGGGCATTACGCTTGTCAGTGTAAAGCATTCTTCACTAGTTCCTATCACAGTGCAGACCTGACTGCATTAAAATATGCTCAGGAGATTAGTCAGTGTTGTCTGTATTTGGTTATGGGAAAGGCTCTCCTTTTTTCATCCAAAGTGCATAGTGAGAACAAGTCAAAGCATTCCTCTTTTCAGTACGTGTTTGACAGTCTGATCCAGGCATCCTCCTGAGAATGCAATTCTGATGTCTTGCTCTTTTCCAAAATAAAGTCCCACAGTTCAGACATTCATCAGCCAGGTAAACAAACTTTGCCAGCAAATAAAAGTCCAACTATTGTAAAGAAAATGGATAAGACAAAGAGTACATATGAAGACCCAACCACTGTGTTGTTGGGTAATTTATATGGTTGACCTCCAACTTCACTGATGTAAAATCCTATTGGAAATATTAGGGCTGCCATACAGAATAGAATCACTGCAAAGAAAGAAGAGAAAAAAAAACGGTCACTGCTGTGTTAAAGTAAAATTATTTACTTGTTCATAGAGCAGTCCAGAAAAGCAAGCAAAGCATTCTGACCAAACTGAAGAGCTGATTCCAGTACCTAATTTGCTTGAAATGACTGAGGAGGCTTTATCTTGCTTTTAAAACACAGAATCATAGCATAGTTTGGGTTGGAAGGGACTCCCAGAGGTCATCTAGTCCAAACCCCCTATAATGAGCAGGGACATCTTCATCTAGATCAGGTTGCCCATGACTTTTTCATGCTGATTTTTTCAGTCTTCCCTAAGGTAACACATATTGCTGCTTTTTATTTTGTTAGTAAGGGACCCGTGTGCTGTCTTTTTCTTCCCCTTCTTGTCTCCACCACTAAGACACAGAACAAAGTGGGGATGCTATTCCCTGCTTCAGCTTCCCCACAAGTCAAACAGGCAACAGTAAAATCCACTGGCAACCTTAATCACTGGTTCCTGTGCAAGTCAGCAGTTTTGCAGCTGCTTTTGTTTCCAAGGTACATAAAACAGATTCAGGAGCTCGCCTGTCCCCTTTGGCCTTACCAGGACAAAGTTTCTAGTCTTTCCAAACCAGGAAATGATGGGCTGGAGCACCTCCAGTATTTTTAATGTAACTTCACTAATGCTTTTCCTGACTAAACGCACATGCTCCAGTTTATCCAGCTATGGTGTTACCTGCCCATAGTAAAAACTTTAAAGGACTCCATGTTTATCCAAGATGAATAGTTTATCCCATATATCTCAATGCTCAAAGCTTATGATGTGCATAGCACAGGCCTCAGTTTTGAGGACAAAAGCACTCATGTTCCATAGAAGAGACTAGTTTGGGGCATGATCAATCTGAACTCAAAACGTGTCCAAGCAGAACTTGGGCATAAACAAAAAAGGATGGTTTCATGAACCATGGTCTACAACCGGAGCATCAGCTGCTCCTTGCTTTCAGGAAAGGAAAAAACCCAGATGTTCCAGGAGAGGGAGCTCCTGTCTCGCTTTTAATGTAGCAACACCTCAGAATATTTGTTAAAGGGGAAGAAATAGAGCACAAACAAAAACCGTCTGGCAATTGCATAGTTACTACACTCTTGCTCAGTCCTACCTCGCTAGGCCATCTATTAAAACGAAACCAAACAACTGGCAACCAGAGGTTAAACATTAAATAATCTGATAGGTTTTAATCTACACTATTATCGGTCCATGAAATTCGACACTACACAAACTAATCCTTAAAGAATGGTTAAGATACATTTGAAAAAAGGGAAACAACAGCTGGTCTATCTGAGGAGAGGAAGCGTGGGTATGTGCTTCTTGAGCACATCTGTGTAAGCATAGAAGAGCTCCACTCTTGAGTGGTCCAGAAAACAGAGGCTGATGTGTAATTAGTACCACACATGTACAATAAGTAACAATCTGAACAATATTCTGAGGGTAAGTCACATTATCATAACTCAGCACGCTTCCTATTACATCCAGTTAGTCCCTGATAAGCATTCCAGTTATTTACAAAACTTCTGCAACATTTTAACAGTAACACAGGAAATAGCTTCAGGATTCAGAAAACAACCTGCACTTCCAAGATTAAATCTCTGTTATTATATTCAAGAACCACACAGCTGGAGAAGTTCTGATGGATTCATGGATATGGCTGAAGAACAGATCTTTAATCCTCTCTACTAAACCACTGTTCTTCGAGGTGTATTGGACATAGCACACCAGGTCTGCAACCTGCTAGTGGCACTGTGGAGTGTGTGCCCGGTGTCTCCTTGTGTTCTGCCCGGAGGCAGAAGGGTGCAGGCACCTCAACTCTCCATCAGTTCACAGCAGGACCAAAAAATAACTTCTGTGTGTGCAGAATGTTGATGTGCACACACATTTCACACATTCACTACACAAGTAACCAGCCATCTTTTCTCTTCCACTCTGCATCCTCACAGCGCACATGTTCTGCTATAGGGGTGTCCAAGCAATTTTCTTAGTGTGGTCCGAGTTTTTTAGTCTACTGAAATAGCAAATAAAAAATGGATTCATCAAAGTCTCTCTTGGATTAGGAAGCCTGGCAAAGGAATTAGGGCAAAGGTTTGACAAGTCATTAAAAAAAGACTGCATGATAAATTTAATAAGCAGCAGCAAAGGAGAAAATCCAATATAAAAAATTAATAAGGAGAAAATTCAATATATGAACTGGTCAGTTAATTTAGTGTATTTTCTACGAAGGAGGTATGTGAGCTAGAGGATAGGAATTTCTTACACAAGCTGTAGCCCAAATACAACTCTCCGTATCTGGTAGTACTAACTCAGTGAATTTCCAGAAACAATTCCTAGCAACCCATACAACAGAACCTCTTCCTCAAGAGTAGTTGCTTTTGATTTAAAATTCTTCCTTGGGTAGGAAAATTTGCAGAAAAGATACTTAATGACTACAATTTCTACTAACAAAAATATTTAGGTAACAAAACACAATTTCTAGACTGCTTCTGGATGGTGGCTGTCACAAAAAGATCTAGTTCCTGTAATTCTTTAGCTTGAAATAATTTTGAGCATCCAACGACAACTTCAAAAATCCAGGATACAGCATATTAAAAGAAGGAAAAAGCTATGGTCTAGTCTTTAGAGGATTCATCGTAATACCTGCTTGTCTCTTTAGAGATGGGTAACATAGAAAGCAGCACCTGGCACAAATCTTTAGTAACTCAAGCAGCACTTTATCACTGGGGAACACCAGGGATAGACATTTACATGATAGCTGCGGTTAATTAAAAATGTGATTACTCTGCCCCATTTTTACTTGCATTCCAAAACCCAAGGCCATCATACTCATCAACACTGAAATCCTCTGGCAAAACAGTAACAGACTATCTGGTAAGGCAGAAATATTTTTCTGTCCAGCATCCCCTCCCTTGACACATCTCAGAGAAGCATCTCATTCAGTGGTAACAGACACAGAATTAATTCCATTTCTAGTTGTAGCAGATGTTAAGAGACCAAAATCTGTGTATGATGTAAACAGATCTTGGGGGAACTCTGTGAATTCCTGCAACAGCCAAGGAATGAACACGAAGAAGGAATCTAATCTCCATTACATTGTATGAATTTGGTACTAAACAGGACTCAAACATCAGTGCTAGTTTTGATGAAACTATGCCCAAAGTTTACCAATCACACCAGAAAGAATACTGTGATTCTTGAAAAACTCTACAGAAACTGAAGGTAAACTTTCGCATTTGCCTTTAGAAGACTTATGTCACTCACACAATATTACCTGGAAGAAGGAAACATCTCTCCTCTCTACAAAGCTGTTTTGTAGAGAAACCAGAAAGACAAGTTTCTGTGTAGTAAAGTCACCCAGCTGGGGAAGGATGCAAACACTGTGCTAGTAAATACTCTCTCAGATGTTTCCCTTCAGAAGTGTATACGGGAAAGAGAATTGACAGATCAAACCTTTGTCCTTCATGTGTCCCATAGCTAACCAAGACAGACAATACTGCTCTCAGCAGTAATTCATATTTGTAAGTACATGGTTGAAAAAATCTGAAGGCACCCAAGATAACAAGATTACAAGCAGAAATTCCATGAAAAATATGAACTACACATTGCCACGTAAATTCCAGCATGAACTGGGAAAGAGTGACCCTCTTACCAGGCTCTCCTTGCTGCTATCAGAGTTGCAAGGAAAGGACTGAGCAAGAGGATTCCTTTGCCTTTAGATGATTTACTCTAGAACCCTTGCATTCAAAGGGAATGGAGCTGCCAGAGTCCCAGAGCTGCCTTTGGCAGTCCCAGCAGACTTCCCTGCCTGTCTAGGATAGTACATCCTATGTTGTGTTCAGAAAGTTCTGTGGGAAGAATATCAGCTAGCAGCCTGTGCGAAGCTGGTGAGTCTTGAAACTGCTTGCAGAAGAGATGTAATACAACTATGTTTTCCCTACCCCCTTCTACATGTTTTCATCTTATAGCGCTGGCATTCCACAGGAGGGACCTGTTCACGGTATTCCAGATTGACTCCACATGGTTTCCTAATACTGATCTACAAGTAGGTTACTAATTTTTGTGGCCATCTAATGAAAAACAGAAGTCACATCAACTTTTTGAAAAATGAAAAATACAGAACTTTTCCTCCCTTTCATTTTGGGGTTTTTAAGTCTCTCCTCTTACAAGTTAAGCAACAAGCCACAGTATTTCCCATTGTCATTAACTGGAATAAAAAGGTCACAGTTGTATGTGTTGAAGCTGACTACCCAAGATGTTGAATTTTAGAATTTCAGTGATGCAGAGATTGTATCTTAATAGAAGTACAAATAACTGACTTGCAAGAGAAAATATCAGTGTGTTTCATTATTAAACATCATATAACAAAAAGGCAAGTGCTGAAATGAAAGTGTCCTTCTATATTTAGTCTTCCAATAATGCATCTGTTGCAAGCCTAAAGAGATCTATAGAAAAAGAAAACAGCTTTAGAGTACCAGGCTTTTCGGCTGAACTAACCATCACAGTTGTAGAAAACTGAAGATGCAGGGATGTTACAACTGGAGATATTTTAAAATATTACAATATGTAAAGCCCAAAATACAAGCTCTGAATTAAGGAAAAAAACCCTTTGTAAGTATATTGTGATATTAACTGTTGATGTACAGTACTCCAAAACCCCATTTTACTCTAGAGCTTTGACTTCAGCTTACTGTAAACATCTTAATTTTATATGACATTTTCAGTTTAAACCCTCCCTGCATACATTAGACATACATGAAATATGTATATACAAACAAGGGTACTGGAAATCTTGGGATGGAATATTCAGTAATACTCTTGTCTGACATTTTAATCTTTCACCAGAAAATAAACTGAAGTCAATCACAACAGATACACCATTTCAATAGCTCCATTGTCTGCAAGAGCTGCACTGTTACTTTAATATGCTGTGTAGCAAAGTTGTCAGAAGGATGGGTTTGATTGTACAAGTGCCTCGGTGAAGTACTTTTTTTGTAGCTGAGCGCTTTTTTATATTATTCCCTTCCCCAAAACAAGGTTAAATCTCATTCATAGTAGATACCATTAGGTGTCACAGATGCCACAGAATTATTTATGCCTATGGAAACCACAAACTTGCATTTTCTAGTTAGCATTCACACTACCTTTAGTGGTATGTCATAATTCAAGGCAATTTTAAAGCCCTCAGGTTTTGAGTTTTTTCATGCAGTCATCCCCACCATTAAGGCACCGTTTCACAGTTGGGCTAAGCCTGTAACACACACCAAGAAAAGGAAGTTTGAAAGTTATTCCCCTTCCTCACTGTATTTTTCTTTTGCACCGAAGTACCCATAGGATATGTTTCCCTGTGTAGAAGCATAGGGCTGCTAGAGAAGGCTCAGCTATGAGGAGTTGTACTAGTGCACATACAGAGCAGAATCAAGGGAGGCAATAAAACACTGATACTCCTCCTTCCAGTTAGAGCACTGTTGCAGGTCACTTAGGGAAGCAAAAGTCTCAGTGCTGTGAAGCACAGCAGATGCTCTGCAGTGGGCAGTCCTCTTGCATAGCCAGTTAAGATGCAGATACTCTGAATATAACACCTACTGTGAGCATGAACAACTGAACCAGAATCAACCCCAAACAAGGTATTCATGAGACACCTGAAAGAGGGATGGATTTTAGACTTACTGCAGTAAGTCATATCTATCAAACTGCTGCCTCTTCCTTGGGGAGGCAATCTTTAGTCATTCCACTCTGCTAGGAATAAGCCTTAGATATATGGGAGTGGAGAAGAATGAAAGACTATCATATGCACAATTCAGGACTGACCTCCTCTATCCCTGCTCATTTTCTTAGGTCAGTTAATACACTGCCCAAGGAAGGTAAAAGGATCAGGCCTTTCTTTATCTCATCTTGGGCCCACATTCTATTACTCCCTCTCAATCACAGTCACTTAAGATACAAACCCCTTGATTTTTGAAGAATATTATATTTTCCTCAGATGTGGCATTTAAAGAGAAGGAATGGTTTGTATAGTAAGAGCCCTAAGCAGTGCTCCTAAACAACACTATAGTGTTACTGCAGACTCCACCAGTTTATCCTGTATACAGGTCAACTGTGAGGTTGAGGTCACTTACTTCCAGTGAAAGCTATCCAGCGGGCATATTTAGTAGCTTCTCTTCGCCAGTGGGAAGCCACCAGCAAACCACATGTGACAGTTAGTGAAATGATTCCCATAATGATGAAAAATAACGTAGTGACCCACTCAGGAGGCAGCCGTGGAGGAATACAGGTCCTGTCACGTCCATGGATGGTTTGACACTGTCGCACAAGGCCAACTGTGAGAGCACCTGAAAATACATAGCAGAGAGGCAAGTAAACTTTCAAAATCCTCTCTGAGGGGCGCTCAATTGCAAACCAAAGCTCAGAATTCTCCAAAAATGAGGGATTTTTTCTCTGATGAACCTCAGTAAGCCTTTCAAACTCAGGGGATGGGGGGGAGGGCATGCTTTAAGCATCTATTTTCATATTCTTTCATCACAGGCTTGCACAAGTTGAAGCAAGATGGCTGCAAGCTGTATCTGGTTCTTGAGTGGCAGTCAAGGTCTAGTCAAAGGGATAAAGCACTCCTCTTCTATAAAGCCTGCCAATAACAGCTAAAGTGGCAACAGAGTTGTATGGAGGACCACTCCATCATCTGTGCAAGACGAAATACTTTTATCATCTAACAAAACGAGCTGCAGCCCCTAAAATGCCTTTAACTGTCAAATGCCTTTTCCCCTTATCTGTAAATACAGCTTTTCTCCTCAAACTCTTGAAGCAGAAACTGCGCTTGATTCATGCCAAAATTTTAAGAACATTAAAAAAAATCCAAACCCTATTCTTTACAGTAACTCTTTAAGAATCCCTCTATGCAAGAGGCTGGTCAATCCTTTTGACAGCTAACAAGTTACTACACACAAACTGGGATACCTATACAAGAGATCTATCAAAAAGATCCTAGGGAAAGGATGGGGCTGGTACAGGAACCCTAGATTTTTACATAAAATAAAGTATTTTCTATTAAATATAAAAAACTGACTTAAAATCCAATTCAGTGCTTTTTAGACTCATAAAGAAGCTTTTAATAAGCTTTAATAATGATACTATCTTTATGTGGAAAATTTTAACCCAAGATTAACATGCAAAATTAAAATCTATTTCTTTCAGTATCTTGTAAACATTAAGTCCTGTATTTCTTATTTTTTCCCCTTGTTCTGAACAGCTTTCCTAAGTAATCACAATTGTCCTTTATCTAAATCAGGAGCAAAAAAACAACAGTGGATAATACTAGAGTCAACATATTCCTCCACAAGTTATTATAAGTTAATGCTATTTTAGTTGATCTGTTTAAAACCCAAAGAAGGAAACTTAGAAACAATTACAGTAAGACTTGGAAGCTCAGGTATAGCATGTCTTTTGGAGGGAGAAACAACTATCATACTACTTTAACTTTTTTTTTTGGGGGGGGGGAGCATGAAACAAGTAAGCTAAGAGTCAAAAGGGTAACCAAGTCCTTGCACCCATCTCCTAGCACTCGGGAGCCAACTTCTGCAAGTGTTCAGATCCTGTCTGCTTACACCTCAGCAATCAGTAACAGCAGAATTAGTTTCTGAGCTTAGAGTCATTGGGTTAGGAGGCAGAATATTATCTTTTATTAGATGTAGCTCTTCTAATACACTCATAGAGGATGAGAAGAACCAAGAGCAAAACCATCACTGAATCAGTTCTGTTGAAGCGTTCCTGTAACCTGTTTAGACTACAATTTTTTAGCCCTAATCGTATACATCCTTTTAATTACGTATTTACCAACTGAAAGATTCTGAGATTACTTTTCAGATAAAAGTTGAAGTAAAATCCTTTAAAAAAGTGTCAGTTACAAACCCAACAAAATTGTCATTTTCTACTCCAAATATATAGCAATCACACCATTGCTGAGCACCAGGATTACACAAAATTGAGCCAGAATTACACAAGCAATCCTACACAGCTCACATGCCTGTGCAGTACACAGTTTTACATGAACTGCTTCTCAGTTGCTTTTTCATAGCCTGCCATGTTTTCATTTTACATCAGCTCCTGGGGCAGAGGGAAGATGTGCATGGGTCCTTAAAAGTCAAGCTCCTTGAAACACAAGCATTTTGCAGATCCTCATACAAAACACTAAGCAGTTTCCTGTAGTTTAGGGATAATGAGCCTATTCACTGCAGTAACACAGAACAGGAAATTAATCCCAATCACTCTGTAAGAATAGGATTTGATAATTTTACTATACTTGCAGTAGAAGTCAGGGTTTTTTTCTAACCTGCAATTCTAATCTAGAGAATGATTTCATAAAAATGACATCATACACTCAGCAGATGCTTTCTGAGTTCAGACATGCCTCCTGAATTCAGTGGCAATAATTGAGTGCATTTTTAACTTTGGCAAAAGCAACAGTGCTAAGAACCACTGTGCTGGACTCCATTCCACTTTGTATGTTAACTGAAACTGAAGAACAGTTGCTACAGATGAGCATGTATTAGAGACAACAAACTTGTGTTTCAGATGCAATTTGAAGTTTATACTGAAAACATTATCAAGTAATAAGAGCACATTCAACATGTTAGATTCAGAGAGAACCAAAGCTAAGCCCAGCAGTGCCATATTTAGATAAAACAGAAGATAACTCCGTCTTGAACTACTATTTTCCAGTGCAGCTCTTTTGCTGTCAATGTCTACTTCTCCAAAGGCTGATTTTCTAAAACATAACAAATCCCAAGAAACCCACAACTGAAAATGAAAAAGAATAGAACACAAATCTCAGAACTGTGAGTACCACAGTAGCACCCCTTTTGAAGACACAAGGATAGTTGCAAGAAATTACTCAGGGCAGGGTTTCCTAAACATCACTTCTGGTGCCCAGTTGTGTTGTTCCACTCTATTTTAATGAGAGTTTTAAAGCACCAGCAATTAAATTCAATAAATCTGCCATTCTGGAGGAAAAATACTGAACTTTATGGTTAAGCTTTTGCTACACATAGTATTTTCTCTGAACTCTGCTTCATGGATTACAAATTTGAAGTAGTTATTCCACATTCAAGGCTTTGAACCCTGAGTCTGCAGAATCTAGGGAGGCAAATGGAGAGCAAGAGAAGCTCTGTGAACTATTTCTAAAGGTTTCCCAAACGTAACTGGGAGAAAAACATTCATTATGTGGTTGTAAATAAATTTAAAGTTCATATGTAGGCTCACTTTACAGGGATACCTCACTTGTGTATATAAACTGGGCAGAAGAAAATTAAACCTCATAGCTGCTCCCATAGTGACAAATCTCCTGTTGAAGGCAGACTTCAACAGAAGTCTCTGGTGTGGAAACCCAGTATTTATTTGCTACAAAATTCAAAAGAAGAATGGGTTTACATGGCATTTTATTGCCTTGGTCCCATTTCAGAGCAATAAAGCAAACAGTTGCCAGGCAGCTGCCAACAAACTAACTTCTTCCAGAAAATCCTGTTTAACCTTTTCTAGTCATTATCTGTCTAGTCATATCTGTCACCATCCTTGAAAGGAGGGACAGAGATACTAAGCTGAATAGTCTCCTTCTGCCTATATTTAGCAAATAGTCCAACAGTACATCTCAAGCCAGTCACCAAGTTCCACTCTGATCCCTAGGTAAGAGGCTTTTAGTCATTCCTGCAGAACAATTCCAACATAATAGATGGAAATCTAAGCCTGTAACACAGACATAAAGCAAACAGCACAGCTGATGCTAACATATTAGGAAGCTTAAAGATGGATACAGCCTTAAACCACGTGCAGTGAGTAACCACGCCTGCCCATCCTCCACCTCCCAGTGCCCGTACTGCACAGCCACTGGCAGCTATAACAACCTGAGATTCAGGATGCTGCTCCCTTTCTCTTATATGTCTCTCTCTCCATAGCTTCAAGACTGGTATTATGCACATCAGTATAGCTAGTGTGAGAGGTGATTAGGATAGATATTTTAATTACTAAAAACTGGTAATGAGATGAGATTCAGCCTTCATCAAAACAGAGAATGCTGCACTGAACAAATGTCAGTCAAGTGGTCCTTAGTCTTTTCCAGTAGATCTATTTCCCAAAGTACCAGTTCATTTCAAACACATTAAACAACCTTCCAGTAGTGATAGTCTGACTGTAACCAGGACTCCAGTTTATACCAGTGAAAGATTTCATGATCATACCCCAACTCCTCCAGACCACCAGTAATGCTTTTTCTGACACTGCATATTTTCACCTGAATCAGTAACAAAAAAGTCTCTTTAACAAATATTTGGGAGCCTCACCTGTTTAACAATCAAATTTCACAAAACCATTGAGGGAAGACAGGGAACAGCACCAAACCAGAGAAGGGGAAGCCCTTGTATTATCCCTTCATGCTGAAGTGCCGCCACCACCAACCAACCCATGAGTCCCGCGGTGCTGTGTCATCCCTCTCCCGTTTCCGTGGTAACTCCAGAGCCATCAAGGAGGAATCACGCTACAGAGAAACAAAGATTCCTGCAGCCCTTCGCTCTCCCACCTCTCCACCACTTCTGAATTATTAAAAGTGGCCCAGCAATATCACAGCTGGAAAGCAGTAGCATAATGATGGCTGCTCATCTGTTACTTCATTGCTGGAACACACGGGATAAAGCATGGACACAGGAGAGATGCCATTGCCATGAAGAGTTTACCACAGTATAAGAAGCAACTGATGTGGTAAAAGAACGATGTAGTGAATGAGGTGGGGCTCAAACGTTTGAAGGTCACAGAACTCAACAGCTATGCTGTAGCATGAACATACCAAAGCACGAATCTTCAGAACTGCTCTTGTACATACCGCTTGGGGTACCTGCTCCTCCTCTGTCCTCTCATACAGTTCCCACTTGACAATATCTTTACTCTTTCCTCTCATTTTAAAGAAAAATGTTATCCCTTGCATTTAAATGCCCCTGCAATCCTTTATATTCCTTGACAAGAGCTTCCTCACTTTTACCTTCCATATATGAACCACATCCTCAGCAAAATCCTGATTACCAACATTAAATAAATATTACAAGCCAATATGCCTAGTGGGGAGGTTAAAACATCCAACCGCTTGCAGACAGACTGCCTGCCCGCCCTCCCTGTCCTGATGAAATGGTGTGGTTCTGCTAGAAACCCCAGTTGTGACTGCCAGACAATTTCTGCTCAAACATGATCCTTTTCTTTAGTGTACAGTGGACTTCCTAAACCATCTTTACTATGTGAAGAGCACAGTTAACACAGTTGTTGGTGACGTAAATCTTAGAGTATGGCAAAGACACTG